GGCCAGCCCAGTAGGCCGAGACCACGTGGGTGCTGGGTCCCATCAGCATGGTCCCCAGGCGGATTCGGGGGCAGGGACTAGGCCCCAGGGGCCGGGGTGGAGACTCTGCTAGGGACTGCCTGCCCCTCCTACACACCCCAAAGCCCCCACTTCCTCTTTTTGAGGTACCAGGGCCCCAGGCCCTGTGCAGCTCCGGGGCCTGCTGGGCTGGGCCAGAGGAAGCCAGGCTGGGATTCCTGCCGGCACTGCTTAGGTGAGGAAGTGGGTCCCCTCTCTATGTCTATGAAAGCTGGGGGTGGTCTAGAACCCCCAAGGGGGGCTGTAGCCCTGGGGTGTTGCTGGATCAGCCAGTTCTAGGGAAGGATTTCCTGAGCACCCCCAAGGGCCTGGTCCTGCACTCATAATTTGAGGTCCCAGCTCCGTATTTCCAGCAGCTCTTTGGCTGAGGAACTCAGACCCCGCAGGTTAGTGTCTGTCAAGGAGACCACAGTCCTGCCTCAGTTGCAGGGAAGTGGGGAAAGGGTGTGTGTGGATAGCTCAGAGGGCTTCCTGGAGGAAGTGGTGCTTCTGGATCTTGCTGGTTCAGAGAAGGCTTCCTGACATGGCGGTCTGATCTTCCTTCTGGGAGGCAGAGGGAGGTACCTTGACGGAATCCACTTTGCCTCCCACCCTCTGTCCTAGGCCTTGAGAGGAGAGGATACGGAGGGGTAGGCATTCTGAGAAGTTATGGGCTCTGCAGATGTCAGCACCGTGAGGGCGTTGAGTAGGACAAGAGGTGGTGACGTGTGTCCACATCCTAGCTCTCTTTTGCTAGCTGTGTGACCTCAGGAAAATGACTGAACCTCTGGGTTCCCACACCCATAAAAGGGAAAAGAAGCTGTCCTTCCCCTGCAGGGCAGATGTGTGGGGTTAGAGCCCATAGCGCTGGGCACGCAGCAAGCACTCACTAGATTCTGTTTATGGCATTGTCTGCCCCATGCTGGCATGAGACACGAGGCTTCAGGGGTACAGAGGCCCCCAGGAGTGCTTTGGGGAACGAGGCTGATCCCCTGCCTCCATTTCTACCTGAGCATGCCTCTGGGCTCCCAAATTCCTCCCGTAGCGGGGAATCTCTGGAGGCCACTGGAGATATGGGGAGTCTCCTTGCCCCAGCCTCCTGCTGCCCCAGGTCCCATGCAGGATGGCTGGCCCTGGGCTGTGGTGTTTGGGACAAGGTGACAGAATGAGGGGAGTTCCCCTCCTTGGCCCCAGCCCCCTTCCAGAAGTTCTTAGCCAGGACCAGCCTTGTTGGCAGGGACACACTCTTACTTCTGAGCCAAGTGGGACTCTGTCCCCAGCCCCTAGACCCTCAATTTGGGCTTCCCAGATACAGTGAACTGGGGCAACATGGACCTTGGAACTCTTGGTTGCAAGCGACAGGAACTCACACTGACTTCAGCCCAAAGAAGCATAATTGTTCGGTGGGATGAAATCATTTGGAGGTTGCTTGAGCTTCAGGCAGAGCTGGATCCAGGCATTGGGTGGGGGGCAGTTTCAGCATTTAGAGGGTATTTTCAAGCCTCTGTCTCTAATTTCCTTTCCCATGTTGGCTCATGCTTCGTGGGCTGTCTTTTATGGTGCCTTCGAGTGTCTGCCTGCAGCCGGATGTTACCAGCCAAAGACAGTATCTCTTTCCCGTGGGTCAGCAGAAGTCCCAAAGAGGGTTCTCACGGAGAGGATTTTGGTCACATGACTGTCCCTAAACCAGTCACTGGGGCTTGAGAGCTACAATGGTGATGAGCCAGCCTGGGTCACGTGGCCCCAGACCCAGGGGACTGACAGTGGGAGAGACAGACGCAGCAGAAGTAGAAATAACGTCCCCCTCCCACCTGGACGCTTGGGGGTTCTCCTCCACTGTAAGATGGGGCTGCTTGCCCTGCTCCCCCACCAGAGCGATGGCGAGGTGTGAGGGACAGTGAGTGACCCCTGGGCTCCCCTTCCTCCAGGTGAAGGGGCCTCGACTATCCCAAGTGCATCTGTCTGCCATTGGTGTCTTGGGACTTCAGACAGAACCAGTGGGGAGGGGGTGGGGGATCCACAGGGAGATAGGCTTCTGCCTGACCTGAGGCGGGACTTAGAGCCAGAAGGAGTGCCCGCTCATGGAAAAGACTGCCCTGAGAGGTGGTGAGCTCCCCGTCACCGAGGTGGGCAAGCTGAGGCTTCAGGGTCATGAGTTGGACATGGAGCGAAGGAGTTCCTTCATCCCGGGCTCTCATCTATGGCTTCCCTGCCTGCTGCTGCCTGCCCCGAATCCCAGCCCTCCCAGTGGCCAGCGGTGTCAGTGACCAACTGAAGAACCAGTGACTGGATAGAGGGGCCTCGAAGCCTTCCCTGGCAGGGGGGCCTCCGTGTCTGCTTTTGGGGTGGGAGGCTGCTGCTAGGGAGCCGCTGACCTGTGGAGATGCTACCAGTGGGCTCGCAGACCACCTCTCCAGGAGTGATAAACGCGTCTTTTCTCCCAGCCCCCAGCCCTGCCCTGCTCTGCTATCCCAGGAGCGGGACCATGTCCCTGCATAGGCCAAGGTCCCCGTGCTCAGGGCTGTCTATTGTCCCCACTCTCTCCCACCTGCCCTTGCCCAGGAAGTGGCCTAATTAGATCCCTGAGAGCACTGTTTACCAGGCCCGGGCTTCCCACGGGCCCCCGGAACCTTCAACTGCTCCTTCTCTCTCCACGCCTGCCTCAGCTGGGCCTTGTGCACCTGGAAGGGTAGGTCAATTCGAGGGTATCCCGGCTGCCCCCAGCTCTGGTCTGTGGGCTTTGCCTGGGGGAAAAGAGCCCTTGGGGGGTGTAGGTGTTGTCCTGGACCCTGGTGTTTGGGGTTTCTTGGCCTGGCAGTCGGGTCCCGGCACACCGGAGTTTGGCCCCAGGCCAGAGGGCCAGGCAGTGCTGTGTATCCTTGTGGCAAGTGGTTCTGTCCCTGGGAGATCACTGGGGAAGCCTCTCTCAGTTCAGTGAGACTGAGAGGTGGGGCCAGGAGACGGGATTCAGGAGCTAGTGGACCTGGGTGTAAAGCCCAGTGCTTCTCCCAAGCAGCCCTGGCTGTGTGATCTTAGGTGAGCCATGCGACCTCTCTGGGCTCAGCTATGCATCTGTAAAGTGTCTGTTCTGAGGATGAGAGGGGTTGTGTGTGTGTGTGTGTGTGTGTGTGTGTTGGGGGGTCACCTGGCATGACAACATTTCTGCCCCAGCATTTCTGCTGGGGGCTTCTCAGGACAGGGACTGTGTCTCGTTTTGTGAACCCTACAACACAGGGCTGGGCGTATGTGCTTCCATGCCTCGTGTGGAATCAAGACGGGTTAGTTCAGAGTCTGAGGTTGCAAACGAGGGGGATGCACGCCTCACGTTTTTAAATTAGCTGCTGGCATTGATAAGTTGGTGTGTCAAGTGCGAACCAGGTCTGTAGCTTGTCCAGGCTTTGGGTGCTTAGGTGGCCCTGGGCCCCAGCCCCGCAGGGTTGGCTGCCTTCAACAGGTGCCAAGGCTGTGTTCACCTGCCTGGGGCCTGGAGCCAGCAGAAGGCCCCAAGACCTCCGGCAAATGGCATCTCCCTGTCACCTGCAAATGTGGGGTCTTCCCAATTTCTTCCTGGAATTTGTGGAAGGGGAGCTCCCAGAGGGATTTGTGCCCGAAGTGGCTCGTGGATCTGAGGTGGGCACTCACTGGGGGGCCTCGCTCAGATTCAGGGACTCTGGGTGCCCTGTTCTTCAGTGTCTGGGGGTTCCGTACTGCCTTTCCTTTGCAGCTTTTGCTGGTGGCCATTCATGCCCATCATGGCAGCCCAGAGCCTTTGCACCTCTTATGGCCTCCCTGCCCTCTGCCACCTGCCCTGCCTCAGAGCCTGGAGGGTGTTGGGGGCCTGGACTCCTGCCCCCAGACCTCATCACTGCATGTGCTTTCTGGTGCCTTTCTGTCTGTGGGGACGGGGAGCTCTGTGGGGAGAGAGAGCTAGCCTGGAGCACAGGCACGCCGACAGGCCTTTTTGGAATAAATGAATGAGGAGATGAATGAACGGTGCTGGGGAGAGAGGGACTGTGCCCGTGGCTGGGCACTGCCCGCGCCCAGCTTGTCACCCACGATCCGCTGTGCTTCCCGCTCTGAGGTTCCGGTTCCGTCGCGATGGGGGCGCTTGCAAACTTCCTCCATTCTTGTCAGTGGAAATTTTAAAAATGCACGTGAAAAATGCAGTCTTATGAGGAAGCGTAATGTAACACAAATGCAAGAGGGTTGCTCTGGGTGTCGCAGGCATGGGGGTGGGGTCTGAGGCGCAAAACTCACCAGAAAGCCCCAGTTACCGAGCGAGCGTGACCTTTGCACGAAGACCGCCAGAATAGGAGAAGGTCTGCAAACAGACCCCATGTGCACAGTCCCCTGACTTACCACAGAGGTGGCTTCCCCGAACTTCTTGAGGAAGGAAGGGTGGCTTCACTGGAAGCCGAGGGGGTAGTTAGAGACCCATGTGGAAGAAAGGCATGAAAGCTGATCCCTGCCTCACGCCACACACAGTTTCCCTGGAATGGATCGGAGAAGTCCATGTGAAAGCAACACCATCTAACTTCTAGAACAGTGCTGTCCGGTAGAAGGTTCCAGATGATTGAAATGCTGTCTGTCTTTGCTGCCTGATATGAGCGCCATGAGCTGAGTGTGGCTCTTGAGCGCTTGAAATGAATGGGTCCAGTGGGACTACTGGTCTGAATTTTTAACTTCACTTTCTAATGTAGTTAAATGTAACTTTGCACGGTCACGTGTGGCTAGTGGCGCTGCCGGGGACTGTGTAGTCATAGGAAACACGGGATGAGCTTTGCAGGCAAAGCTTCAAATAGAACCTAAAAGCTAAGTTTGGGTTCAGGTTGGGAGGTGGGACCCAGGGGCTGTGAGGCATTGGTTCCGTTCTCCCCTGCTGCCCGTCCTTCCCTGACTCGGCCTGTCCAGGTCAAACCCTGATCTGTTTTGTGTCTCCACAGAGCTGAGGATCCCGCGCATCTGGTCAGCCTGGCCCGGATGCAGAGGAAGAGGCTGGTGGTTCTGTGAGCAGGCCTGGCAGGGGAGTGGCGTGGGTTCCACGCTGCCCATGGGGCTGCAGGCCCAGGGGACCCCTCCCCAGCCCCACCGGCCAGGCTCCCAGAGCCCAGAGACCTAGGCCCACTGGTATCACCAGAAGGAGGATCCCCGGGCCTTGGGCTCTCCTGGGGGGATGATGCCGGCCAAGGGGCGCTATTTCCTCAATGAAGGCGGAGAGGACCCGGACCAGACGGCGCTGTACGAGAAGTACCGGCTCACCAGTCAGCATAGGCCGCTGCTGCTCACACTCCTGCTGGTGGCTGTCACTGCCTGTATTGCCCTCATTGTCATCACCTTCGTCTGCGGGGTGAGTGAGGCGGCCGGCAGGGGCTGGGCACTCGGCTCCGCTGCTCTGTGCTTGCGAGACCTTTGGTAGGTCACGGTGGACTTCTCGCAGCCTGATGTCCGCCTCTGGCAGGTGTCCTGGAGCATAGCTGGGCCGTGGGAGGCAGGTCGCTCAATTTAATTTAATTATAAACTCTGGGGTGGTTTGAGAGATTATGTTAATTTGGCCCAGGTAACGACCCTCTTCTCCAGAAGGCATTTCGATTCTGCTGAAGACTTAGGGCAGGGATGGCTCCCACTTCCCAGTGCCCTTCCTCCTAGAGCCCCACTGTGGTCCCTGGGGGCCTTCTTAAGCCTGCTGTCCAGGCAGACGCCACTAACGTCCCCCGTGATCTCAGCCTCGTCCCACCATGGCCACTGCCCATACGTGGCTGCCAAGTGCTGGAAACATGGCTAGTATGACTGAGGGACTGGGTTTTTAATTAATATAAGTTAATCTTGAATAGGCACATGTGGCTAGTACTCCTCTGTGGAACAGCAGAGTTCTAGAAGAAGACCGCTGAGACTACCGGGTGTGTAGGGGGTGGCCAGCACTCATTAGGGGCTCTGTCCTTGCTGTCTGGATCTGTGTACCTATAAACCACAGGACATTTGTTTCTGTGTTCAGCAAATGGTTCCTGAGTACCTACTGTGTGCTGGCCCCCAGATCAGCCTCTGTGCCCGGGGTACGGGGGAGGCCCTGCTGTCTCAGCGATGAATTGCCTTTCCTGGTCACCACCTGCCAGTGTCACACCTCTATACCGTTACTCCAGTTTGTCCCCTTGTGGGGCGCCTTGGGTTAGCCCCTGCTCCTACAGTTCCATCCATCCTGTAACAGGCGGGAACAGTGGCCTCTCCTCCAACGGGCTGTCCCCATGAGCTCCTGGGCTGGCCCCCTGCGGGCACACACAGAGCACCCTGCGAGCAGAGAAGGCCTGATGGAGATGGTGTGTGGAGTGGTAGCATCGCAGGGCTGGGCCGCGTAGGATCTCAGGGCTGCACGGTGACTGGGGGAGGGTGGTGGTGGAGGCAGCCTTCCCTGAAGGGAAGGCCAAACTTGGTGCTCAGACGGAGCATCAACATCAGCCATGTCGGGGAGAGCGCAGTTGACGTTGCTTGGGGCAGGCTGGACAGGCGAGCCTGGCAGGCTTCCTGGAGGGGACGGCGCATCTCACCGGAGGAAAGTTGTGGCATTTCTGTGTATGTGTGCCCTGCCCAGGACCCCTCCGGACACCAGGCTGTCCTGGGGATGGCGTTCTTCACGCTTGCCTTGTTTGTGACTCTCTACGTGCTGGTGTATATGGAGTGTCTCGTCCGGCGGTGGCTCAGGACCCTGGCGCTGGTCATCTGGGTCTGCCTCATGATGCTGGGCTACACGCTGGTGTTGGACTCATGGATGAAGGCTGCCCCGACCTGGGCGCAGGTAACAGGGTGGGGGACCCTGGCGACCCCGAGGGGCTGGATGTCCCCAGTCAGCTGTGTACCCGGCAGTTCCTGCCCTTGCTGGACCTCAGGTCTCTTCTGGAGACAGGGCTTGCTTCGGGTGTACTGGCCTGGGGTGTACCTCCCCCTATGGGCCGTGGTTCTGCAACAGAGGGAAGGCCCTGGGCTGATCTTGTCCCTTGGCTCCCTGAGCTGAGGAGCTGGAGGAACTGGGGAGAGCATCCCTGTGAGTGTCTGGCTCGAGCACTGTGCGGGGACGCTCATTTGGCTGGAAGTGACACAACTCCAACTCAGGCAAAAAGGCACAAATTGGCCCATGTGCCAGGAAGGGCTCCGGGGCCAGTCCTGGGGCTCTGGCAGGATGACCAGGTCCCGGTGGCCCTCTGCTGTGCTTTCCTCCGTGTCATGTCGTCCGGCAGGCCATCCCAGGTTGGGCACGGGTGCTGCCATGACCCCAGGCTGCCTGGCCTCCAGCCGGTCCACCCCAGCTGAGAGAGAGCCCTTTCTAACCAGTTTGAGTCCGCTGGCCTGGCTGGTCACTGTTGCCCAGTGGTGGCAGCCTCTGGTGGGCCGAGGCCCAGGGAAGCCAGGCAGACTGGGGGTGGTGGGCGGGGCTGTGCCGCCAGAGGCCCGTGGGCAGCCCTAGCCTTCCGGTACTCACCACACCTGTGCGGGAGATCCCCAGTGCTGGGTGCCGGGCGGGAACTCCTCGGGTCACGAGGGCCTGGAGTCTCAGTCCTGGAGTCTCGGTCCTGGGGAGGCCTGGCCTTGGCCTCAGATGGTAAATCAGCTCATAGGAAACGATGGATCATGTTGGCTGGGTCTGATCCAGACGCGGAGTTTGGTTTTCTCTTCTTCCTTTGTGTGTATTTCACTGTCCCAACCCACATGGGAAAGACAGGGGCCACCTTGGGGGTAGAGGGCTCAGGGTTCAGGTTTTTGGGTCTGTCCCCAGAAGTCGAGAGGCTGTGGGGGTCCCCGACATCTGCTCTGTCTGGGGCTGTGTCTTGGTGTGGGGGCAGCGTGGCCGCAGCGTGGCCAGTCCCCGAGCCTCCCTGCTGCCGTGCCCCCAGGTGCCCTTTTTCCTGTTCATCGTCTTTGTGGTGTACACACTGCTGCCCTTCAGCATGAGGGGGGCCATCGTGGCAGGGGGAGTCTCCAGCATCTCCCACCTCCTGGTGCTCGGAGTTCTGATGGGGGCCTTCACGAAGCCCAGCGACTGGGTGGTACGGCAGGTGAGGTGCGCACGGGGGGTCTGTGGGGCGGGGCAGCCGCAGGTCTGGTCTGGGCCTGAGGACGCAGAGATGGGTGCGGCTGAGTTAGTCCTGAGACCTCAGGGCCCCCCAGTGGGGTAGGGAAGCCAGCCCCCCAGGCAGGGACGTGCCCTGCAGCCTTTCTTGGCTGGCCTTCGGTGCCCCAGGTGCTCTGGCCCTCCTACCCACGTCCAGTGCGCTGCTGGGAAGGCCAGTCTCACGAGCAGAACCACATTCTGACGGGGCTGGGGTTATCCCTGGGTGCCCCGTCTTGTCTCTGCATTGAGTGACTGAGAAAACAGAACCCAGAACTCTGGGCACTCATCGGGTACCCTGCCTTCTGTGACGGTCCTCAAGGCCCCACTTGGGCTCTGTGGGATGATGGGCTTCTGCTTCCCTGGTCTCTGGGGCCCCGGCTCTCCGGCCGCAGAGAAGGGCTTGAGACCTGATCTGAGAGTCCCAGTGACTCTAGGGGACCAGCGCCCATCCACGCTCCCGCTTCCCTGCCTGCTGCTAACGGTGCCGGCTGGAGCGAGCGGGAGGTCAGGGAACGGGGACGGGGCCTCAGCCAGGCCGAGTGCTGAGCTCGCCCTCGGCTCGCCCCCAGCTGGTGGCCAATGCTGTCATCTTCCTGTGTGGGAACCTCACGGGCGCCTTCCACAAGCACCAGATGCAGGACGCCTCCCGGGAGCTCTTCACCTACGCCGTGAAGTGCATCCAGATCCGTCGGAAGCTGAGGATCGAGAAACGCCAGCAGGTGTGGGCCCTGCCTCCCCCCGAGCCTGGCCCTGCCCAGCCCTGCCCGGCCCCACGCCTGGCGTCCTCTCTCTCTGCACATCAGACCTTCGCCGAACAGCGTGTGCCTGGGGCGTGGGGTGGACACCCGGGCTGGCCTCGCCGCAGGGCCCGCTGGGGACGTGGGAGGCTGGCTCAGGGGCAGGACTCAGGCCGGCTGAGATGGAGGGAGCCATGGGCAGGATGGGCGGGACCAGAGGGCAGATGGAGGCCACCGGGTCGCTGAGCCTGTGGCCTGATGTCCCCCTGCCTGTCCCCACGGGGCCCAGGAGAACCTGCTGCTGTCGGTGTTGCCGGCCCACATCTCCATGGGCATGAAGCTCGCCATCATCGAGCGGCTCAAGGAGCGTGGAGACCGCCGCTATGTGCCCGACAACAACTTCCACAGCCTGTATGTCAAGCGGCACCAGAATGTCAGGTGGGCGGCCGGCTGGGCCTGTGCGCGGGGTCCCCCGGGGGCGCCTGGCCCTGGGGCGGTGGGGTCAGATCAGATTGGTGTCAGTCGGATTGGAGCTCCAGTAGCCCCCTAAAACGGTAAAACTCTGTGCCTAAGTATGACTTTGGGGAAAAAAGGGGTCCTTTTGGGTGATTCTCAAGGGGGCCCAGGTCCCCTCGAAAGAGGTGATGTCTTCAGTCCTTGTGAATTGAAGGGGCTATGGCCGCTTACTAGAAGGCCTCCGCCTCTGGGACCCGGAGGTGCAGGTGCTGTGAGCTGCTTGCTCTGAGCTCACGGACTCCGGAGCTGGGAGACTTGGCGCACGCTGTGGTTCTGGTTTCCATCAGGCTCCAACCAGGCCTCGGTTTGCTCATCTGTGGGATGGGAGTCCTTGCAGGGGAGTGTCAGGCATGGAGCCCAGCTCAGGGGAGCATGGATTTGCGTCTTGCCACGGGGTTGAGTTCTGAAGATGTGAGGAGGGAGAAGGACGTTCTGAGGCACCATTGTCCTGCAGTCCACAGTGATGGGGGGCCTGGGACTGGCGGTTCTCAAGGGCTGTGCAACTCTGGGCTGCTGCCTTTTGCCTTGATGCCAAGCTTCTGGAATGTTCCTTCATCCTTATGGCCTGGAGCTTCTCTCCCATCCATCTGGAGGCTGAGGGGTGGCTGGGGCGATTGGGGTCAGGCAGGTGCTCAGGGGCTCCCCGCGGCCTGGCGCTGACCCTCCGCCACCCCCCCGGCCCTCCCCCAGCATCCTTTATGCCGACATTGTGGGCTTCACGCGGCTGGCCAGCGACTGCTCCCCCAAAGAGTTGGTGGTGGTGCTGAATGAGCTCTTCGGCAAGTTTGACCAGATCGCCAAGGTGAGCCTGCAGACCTTCGTGCCAGTGCCTGGTCCCTGGGAGTGGCGCGTGCCCAGGGCTGTGCTGCGATGGGCGTGTGGAGGCCCAGGCTGAGCTTCAGAGGTTAGCAACTGCTTCCGAGCGGCCCACGGTGGAAGTGAGGTCGTGTGGTGGCCGCGGCAGCCCGAACCCTGTCCCCAGAGAGTGAGGCCAGTTCGGAGACTGCCGGGACGCGTGGGGGCATGCATAGGGGCTCAGGTGCTGTGGGGGGCGGCGCTCAGGAAGGCTGCCTGGAGGAGGAGTTGCCTCCGTCTCACTGCCCAAGGGCAGCAGAAGCCGGGTTTGTCAGGGAGCTGGGGAGGGCTGTGCAGGGCTGTGCCTTCCGACAAGACGTCCGGTGGACCACACGCACATTAAAGTTTGAGAAGCCTGAAGGGAGATGCTGAGAGGAAAAGGAGCAGTTCTGGGCAGAGGGAAGAGTGAGTGCAAAAGGCTGGAGGAGAAAGAAGTCTCTGGGGCCCTTGGCATGGACGCGGCCCAGCATGACTGGGTAGAGTATGAGGGGAGCCAGGTGTCAGGGGTAGACATGCAAGGATTTAGGGCTGAGGAGAGGAGAACTTGACCTGAGGATGCTGGGGAATGTGGCAGGTGCTGAGGAGGGGAGGGCACTGGGTGAGGTGGGCTCCCGGGTCCAGCTGAGCAGGGAGAGGTCTGGAGACGGGCCGGGCTGGGCTGATCTCACGGTTTGTCTTCATGGACAGCACGGGGCCCCGGGGTAGGGGGTGGTGCCAGGGGTCGCGTGCATGTGTGTGTGTGTGTGTGTGTGCGTGTGTGTGTGCGCGCGCGCGCGTGCGGGCACTCAGTAACTTATCACATGGTCCTGAGACCTGCCACGTGGCATCCTTGAGCTCTGCGGGGGGCGGGGGGTGTGGCGCTTGGGCCTGCCCTCCGGTTGCTCCCAGCCTGCATGCTGTGCTTTGAAGAGGAGTGTAGGGGGCTGGGGGGCCTGGGGAGCACCTGGCCCAGCTTCAGATGCAGACGGGCTGAGCGGTGGCCGCTAAGTAGAGACCCGAGGGTTAGGATTTAAGGCCATGACTGTGCTGGCTGCACATTCGAATCAGAGTGTGAGTAAAAGCCGACACCTGTGCCCACACCTGGGTGAGTTCCGAAGCATCCCCTGGGTGCCCGCATGTGCGCAGAATCAGTGCTTAGGTCCTCTGTGGGAAGCAAGTTCTGGCCCCACCCTCGGCAGACTTTCTCACAGCCGGAGCTAGGAGGGATGCTAGCTAGTTCTAGGAGGGACCGCTCTAGGAGGGATGGCCTCACCAGAGTGGCCTTCACATTGGGGCTGACCAAACTCCAGGAGACCACTCCTGGCTGGGAGTGCCCCGGAGCACTGTCCCTCAGGGTATTGTGGACTGAGGGACTCAGAGGGCCTGTCTGGTCTGGAGCCTTCCTTCAGGAGCTTCCTTCCTTCATGACACCCCTTAAACCAGCAGGTGGAGGTTTCCAGTAGCTGGGCCATATGTGGGCTAGGCCTGGCTTCCAGTCTCACATGGCCCTTTCCCTGCCACAGAGTCCAGGGACCGGCCCTTTTCCTCTTGGTCATAGCCTTCCCTCTGTGGCAGGGGCAGGAGGCAGGCCTTTTGTATGGATGGGGAGAGGGAGGCTTTTGGGTGGGCCTCCATGAGGGGTAGGGCTGTGGCCGGGAGCAGGCCTAGAGCTGGCATGGAGCCCCTTCTTCAGGGTCCCTAAATCCCCACCCCCAAGCCTTGGTATGTGTGGCCACCTTTGCCAAGGGCTGCCAGAGGGCCTGGTGGCCACAGATGGAACGTCAGATAACCTGTCTGGGCCCCTCTTCCCCTCAGGGGCATTTTCCTATGTGGCCCCAGCCTCAGTGTTTGGTTCCATCTTTCTGTTCTCTCCCTGCTCCCCAGACCCTGCCAGTCTGCATCCGTGGTCACTTGGCCGTTTCTCCCCTTGTCTTGTGGCACTGGCCTTCATATCCTCTACTTACTCCACTCTAGCTGCACAGGCTGCTTATTGGGTCTCAAACAGCTTTCTAACCACAGGGCCTTTGCACGTGCTGCACCTTTCATCTGCCTGGAACGCTCTTCCTCAGATACTGGTGTGGCTTCTTCCCTCACTTCCTTGGGGTCTTTCCCAAATGTTTCCTTTTCTGGGAGGCCTTCTCTGGCCTCCTGGAGCTTCCTGTCTCCTCCTGCCCCTCATTTGCCTCCTCAGTACTTATCAGTATCAGGTGTCTCTGGGTTTTATTTGTCTAGTTTAGCATCTAACTACCACTGGTGCGTGAGCTGCATGTTGTAGGGAGCTTTGTTTTGCTCACAGCTGTGTGCTGGTGCCTGGGGCAGGGTCGTGTGCTCAGTACACATTTCAACACTACAAGACTGAATGAAGCCAGGACAGCACTCCCCCAAGGGGCACTCCGGTGGCCATCCCTAGTAACACTCACTGTAGCCCTTGGTGTTTGCTTAGAGACCTCCTTGTCCCCAGTGCTTTTCCCAGGCCTGGAAGCAGCTCCTGGTGGCTGGTCACCTGGAGGAGGCTTTGGGCTAGGAAGGAGCATGGCTCTCCCTGAAGGGTGCAGGGAGGTGGCCAGCACACACGGACACCAGGTTGTAGCTGTGTGCCGACCAGGCCGCTGCTTGCCCTGCCCTGTAGGCCAACGAGTGCATGCGGATCAAGATCCTGGGCGACTGCTACTACTGCGTGTCGGGTCTGCCTGTGTCCCTGCCCACCCATGCCCGGAACTGCGTGAAGATGGGGCTGGACATCTGCGAGGCCATTAAGTAGGTACCATGGGCGGGTGCGGGGTCCCATCCCCATCACAGACCCCTTCGCTTCCCAGGGGATTGCGTTGTACCTACTTTGCAGATGAGGAAGCTGAGGCTCGGGGTGCATGTGGCTTGCCTGGGTCCCTCCTCAGTCCTGGGTGGGATGGGGTGATGGGACTGCTCTGCCCAGGCAGGTGCGAGAGGCCACGGGTGTGGACATCAGCATGCGTGTGGGCATACACTCGGGGAACGTGCTGTGTGGAGTCATTGGGCTGCGCAAGTGGCAGTATGACGTGTGGTCCCACGACGTGTCCCTGGCCAACAGGATGGAGGCGGCTGGAGTCCCTGGGTAAGGCTCAGGGGGACAGTGGCGGGACTGGGGGCCATGGGCTGACTCTGGGTTGGGGGAGGGGGAAGTGAGCGGTTGGTCAGAGAGGGGCGCCATGACCTCGTGTCGGGGAAGCGGGGCGGGGCTCTGGCCGGCTTGGCCCTGCGTGCTGTGCAGCCCCCGGGTGGGTGCTGGCCTTCTCTGGGTTCTGCTGCTCTGACTCAGGGCTGGGGTCCCCCAGCCGGGTGCACATCACAGAGGCGACGCTGAAGCACCTGGACAAGGCGTATGAGGTGGAAGACGGGCACGGGCAGCAGCGAGACCCCTACCTGAAGGAGATGAACATTCGCACCTACCTGGTCATCGACCCCCGGGTATGAGGGGCAGTGGGGGGCTGGCGGGGGCCCGGGATATGCTAGGGAGTCCACGGAGGGAGGGTTTTCCTCTTCGAGGCTGTAGAGAGCTAGGGAAGAGGCCCGCCTGGAGTGGGAGTGGGAGTGAGCTCCCCATCACTGAGTGTGTTCCGGGCGCCGCAGCTTCTCTGGGCCCTGGTGAGATTGGAGTAACAGTAGCGCTACCTCAAGAGGAGGAGGAGCTCGCGTCAGCCAGGCTCTCACCACGAACTGGGCGCCTCATGAACATTCTAGAAATGATAGTCACACAGTTTATTTTCCTGGATGGTACCACTCATTTCCCGCATTTTGAAAAGACACTTTTGTCAGACTTGCTTTGGGTAAGACTCTGGAGAAGGAGGCAATGGCCAGGGGACCACCGGGCAGGAGCCTCGGGGGCGTGTTGTGGGCTCTGCCCCCTGGGGGTGGTCGCCCAGCGGGCCGACACCTCCACCTGCTTGGAGGCCCTACTTTCGTCAGGACCCCGTGGGGGATGCAGCCGCTGGGCTGCTCTGAGGCTGGCGGGCCCTGGCCCTGCCCCGCGCCCACACAGCCCTGCTTTCCTGCCGTGGGAGGCCAGCTCGTCTGGCGGCCTGGGTGAATCATCCTTGGGGCTCGCTCAAGAATGTTGGCCACGAAGGGCTCTTTCCAGCTCCCTCTCGCTCTGGCCCTGGCTGTCCTCAGAGCTGGTCCTACTGCCCATCTCTGGGGGTCGTGGAGGGCCAGCCTGTGAGCCGCCCCGGCCCCCTGATGTTCCCCAGGGATAGGAACTGCCCGGGAGCCTCCCCTCCCTGGCCATGGGCTGTGGATGCTGAGTTAGCATCTGGGGAAACTCTTCCTGGGGATCTCGGGGCTGCGCCCACCCCACAGTCATGGAATACAATCCAGCCCTTCCCCCTGTACCCCACAGCTCTGGGCGCTGCCCTTCTTTCCCCTGAGGGCCCTTCACCCCAGCCACTGTCCCCCCGCTGCCCGGCTCTTCGTACCGCAGGACCCTTGTCACTGCTGCCAGCTGTGCCTGCAGCACTCTCCTTTCCCTTGCAAATGCTGTTCATTTATCCTCTTTGCTCGTTCATTGACAGTGTGAGCTCCCCGTGGGCAGGCTCAGGGCAGGGGCACCTCTTCTCTAGGCTGTAATCCCCGCACCTAGAGTAGCGCCTGGCCATGGAGCAGGGGCTCTGAGAGCGTGTGACCAGCGGAGGCAGAGCCCCAGGCCCGCAAGGCAGCAGCCGGCTCGGCTCTGAGCCCTCGCTGGCAGGGCTGCCCGTTCGGCAAGGCCACCGCAGGACCCGTGGGCAAGCTCAATTTCTGACCAACAGTGAAGACGTTTCTAGCATGAGTGTTTTGTGTAGGATATCACCGGGCATCCTACATTTTTTCCCAGCAACCCTACCTTCCCCATCTTTGTTGAATATCACGGGTTCGCATAGTTGAGAATTCCAAAGCCCGAAGTGGGTGTTGTGGACAGTTTCCCTCACATCCTTGTCTGCAGCCGTGTTCCCTGCTGAAGGGGATGGTATGGGGAGTTTCCCTTCCACAGAGAGGCCGATGCCCGTGTGAGGAGTGGAGAGACTCTTACCCGGCCTCGCTAAGCCGAGGGTGGCATTCCCTGTGCCCGGCTGGTACCTTTCTTTCTTCACCTGATGACACAGTTTGGAAACCCGCCCTCATGTGTGCATGGAGGCCCCTGCACGTGCGCCCGGGTTGTCGACACGGTGGCCCTTCCCCAACTCTGGTCTCCCGGGGCCCGCTTCGGAACAGGCGCCTTTTCCCTCAGAGCTGATGGGTCTTTAGTGCACATTTAGTGCACAGACCCTGAACTTGAGCGGCTAGGGGCTGCGGGGGCAGAGCTGCCGACCTGTGAAGGGGAGACGGAGAAGGTGACTCCAGGGTGGGTGGCTCTCCGTGGGGCACGGCACAGCCTCGGGACCCCAGGACTCTCACAGAGGCTGCATTCCAGCGAGTCCCGTGGGCCAGGCAGTCAGGTGCATCTCAGGGTTTAAACATGTTTCTGTCCTGAAAGGAGGCTAGAAGTTTCCAGGAAAGCTGCCGGCTGTGGCTTAGAGAGTGTTTGCGGCCCCAGATGCTGGGCCTTGTGGGTGTTTGCAGAGACCCGAGGACACAGGGACTCCTGGAGGGCGGGCACCTTCAGAGGGTGGGGGACTTGGAGATGGTTCGAGCTCGTCTCCTGTGGCTTTGGTGCTGTCTCTCTTCTCTCCTCCGTTTACAGTCCTGCCCGCCCTCCCCAGCAGGGGAAGGTCCCTTGCGGTTGCTCTTATGGCCCGGGGGTTGGGTGGGGTGGGGTGGGGGGGGCATGGAGCAGGCTGGGCTTCACTAACACCCCCTCCCTGACACGGCCAGAGCAGGCACAAGGCAAGCAATGGTCCCTGCTGTGATGTAGGGGCCACGCGAGTGGAACTCTCTGGAAAGCCGTCCAGGGGGTGGGGCTGGCCTCTTGCTTGGCTGGTGCTCTGGTTCTCTGGGTTCCCGGCCTGCTCTCCTCTTCCTCCAGCTGTTCCTTCAGGAAGGACGTGTGCTGGCCACATGTGGGTGGGCTGGGTAGGATGTTTGCAGCTTTCCTGGGCACTGTCTCCCCAAGATGTCCCCACGGGGAGAGGCCAGTGGGCTCTCAGGCCCCAAGGGGGACAGTGTTGGGTCCCACAGAGCCTTACGGGGTTGGCGGGAGCTTAGGACTTGAGCCCAGTCTTTCCCTGGAGAGGTGTCTGAGGGGCTGTGCGTAGTTGTGTGTGATCCCCAATTTCCTGGTCACCTAGGAAGGACAGGCCCCAAGCCGGGTCCCCTGTAGCCCAGCCTAGGAGTGCACTGGGCCGCAGCCGAGGGGTTGCAGACCCAGCAGCGTTTCTTATCTCTTTCCACCAGCCTGGCCAGTACTCCAGGCGGTGGGTCATTTCATGGGGAGCAGGATGGGGGCCGGGGCCCTTCCTGAGCTGAGAGGGAAGGGGAGGGGACGGGCCATGTCTGTGTCCTGCAGAGCCAGCAGCCGCCCCCGCCCAGCCAGCACCTCCCCAAGCCCAAGGGGGACGCAGCCCTGAAGATGCGAGCGTCTGTGCGCATGACACGCTACCTGGAGTCCTGGGGGGCTGCACGGCCCTTTGCACACCTCAACCACCGTGAGAGCGTGAGCAGTGGCGAGACCCCAGTCCCCAGTGGGCGGAGGCCCAAGGTAGGATATTGCTTCCTGGACTGCTCGGTCCTTGCCCCCTGTGTCTCAGGGTGCGGGAGATGAGAGACCCAGTCCCGGGGCAGACTCTGGGGGTCCCTCTTGGCAGAATAACTGTCCCCTCTCCCTTCCCTTCCAGACCATTCCCCTGCGGCGCCACCGGACCCCTGACAGGTACGTGCACTGTCTCCTCCTGTCAGCTGTGGCCTGCCTTCCTGGCCAAATCCTGCCCCAGTCACCCCCTTCAGGCCCACTTCCTCCAGGCAGGCTGCCCTGACTATCCTCTGTCCAGGGGTGCAGCTCGGAGGGGCTGTGGCTCAGAATCAGAACTTCATGGTCACGGAGTGCCTGTGGAGTCCCCACCGTGACGGGGGTGGTGATGTGTGTGGGGAAGCCTGCGGGTGGAGGGCAAGAGGCCTTCGAGGGCCGCCCTCTGCTCCTGGCTGGGCTGCCGGCCAGCTGGGCCTGCTACTTGATGCTGGGCATCCATTTGCCCTCTTTGGGCCTCAGTGGGACCTACCTGTCCCTCAGCCACTCCGCACGCGGCTCCGAGCCTCCCACAGGCGTCTGGGCACCCGGACTAGGGAGCCATTTCGCATGCACTACTGCCTTTGGGCAACTGAGCGAGGGCCTGGGGTGACACGGTTCGGGTTTCTGATCCAGGAGTTCGTCCCCCAAGGGGCGGTCGGAGGATGACTCATATGATGAGGAGATGCTGTCGGCCATTGAGGGTCTGAGCTCCACGAGGTAGGACCCCGAGACCTCTGTTCGCCCTGTACTCCCTCGGGTGGGGGTTCCCCAGACGGCCATGCCCCCCTTGTGCCTGTGTGCCTGGTGGTCCAGCTCCGACTGTGTCTGTGGTGGCTCCTAGGCCTCCGTGATGCGGCCTCCTGGGAGAGGACTTCTGTCCCCCCCCCACCCCTGCCCCATCTCCCCCACCCCCTCCTCCCTTCTCCTCCTGAGGGCAGGGCCCTGCCCACTCCCCCCTTCCCCCACCTCCTTTCCCCCTCCCCACTCCCCATCTGCTCTCCCCCCTCCCGCCCCCCGCCTCCTGAGGGTGGGTCCTCTCTCCTCCCCCATCTCCTCCCAAGGGTGGGCCCCCGATTTCCCCAGGCCCTCTGTCTCACTGCCTGTGCCCGCCCCCCCTCAGGCCCTGCTGCTCCAAGTCCGATGACTTCTCCACCTTCGGGTCCATCTTCCTGGAGAAGGATTTCGAGCGAGAGGTGAGGGTCCCCCAGCAGCTCCAGAACAGGGGCTCTAGGCCTGGGGTAGGGTAGAGGTGCAGGCCACGGGGCAGCCGACGCTCCATGTCTGTTGTCTGTTCGGGGAGGGTGGTGGGGAATCACCCCATTTGGCTAGGGCTGGCTTGGACCCTCTTCCTGTTGCCCTCACTCCCAGACCTGACGTGTCCCACTTGGGTTTGGGAGACCTTCGCTCCCCTCACAGGCTAGAACCTCAGCCTCAGGGGCCGGTGTGCGCCTTGGCCTGGTTCTCCCTTCTGGCTGCTACAACTACATGCTTTTGGGCTGTAACACAACGGTTTACTTATTTATTGAGGACCTACTGGTTTCTGGCTGTGTCCCAGGCACATATGTATGTCCTTGAAACCTCATATAGCTGGACAAGGTGGCCCCGAGAGGGTGGCTTCAGGCCACAGAGCTCTGGTGCTGGGACCTCTTTCCCCTCTCGGCCTCCAGGATTGGTGGTGGTGGGGGGTGTCTTTCTCTGGCTGGGGCTTCCTGAGTCCGGGGCTATCTCGGTGAGGAGCTTGGGGTCTGAGGGAAGCCTGCCAGGCAGGCCTTCCAGCAGCTGTGGGACTCCGGGCAGCCTGCTGGACTCTCTGAACCCCAGTCTGCTCACCCGTGGCAGGAGCCCTTGTGGCCCGAGGTTATGAGATTGTGCCTGGTGTAGGGGTGTAGGCAGCACGGGGTTCCCCCACCTGCTCGCGAGGAGCTTAGGCCTGGCCTTACTCCTGGGTTTGGGGGAGGACAGACCCACCACCAGCCCCAGAGTTCAGATTTGGTTCCTGTCCACAAGCTTGGGGCCATGGGCTTCTCAGGCACCTGGGACATAGAGTCAGAGACCTGGGTTGGGTGGGGGAGAGGAAGGGATGGGTTCTAGGCCTCAAGGAACCAAATGAAGGTCATTTGGTTATGATGATGTCCCATCATCACCTGGAACTCAAGGAGGGTGTGAGGTGTGTTTGTTTTTTTAAAGATTGATTTATTTGTCGGGGCGCCTGGGTGGCTCAGTGGGTAAAGCCTCTGCCTTCGGCTCAGGTCATGATCCCAGGGTCCCGGGATGGAGCCCCACATCGGGCTCCCTGCTCAGCAGGGAGCCTGCTTCCCCCGCCCCCAACCCCGCCTGCCTCTCTGCCTACTTGTGATCTCTCTGTCAAATAAATAAATAAAATCTTTAAAAGAAAAAAAAGATTCATTTATTTGTTTGAGAGAGAGAATGTGTGCATGAACGAGATGGGGGAGGACAGGAGGAGAGGGAGAAGCAGACCCCCTGCTGAGGGGGACCCTGAGATCATGACCTTAGCTCACGACCTGAGCTGAATGTTTAACTGAGGGAGCCACCCAGGTGCCCCCAGGGTATCAGTTTTGGTTAACTGGAGCCGGGGTGGGCTGGGAAGGGGCCGGAGCGAGTGGCCCTGACCATCCCTGTCGCCCCCCAGTACCGCCTGGCTCCCATCCCCCGGGCCCGTCACTACTTCGCCTGCGCCAGCCTCATCTTCGTCTGCATCCTGCTGGTCCAGGTCCTGCTCCTGCGCAGGTCAGTCGGGCTGAGTGGGATGCGCGGGCCCACTGGGGTCGGCCCAGGGCCCCCGGAAAACCTGCGTGCGCTGTCCAACCAGCGCAAGGGGCTGGCGCTTTGAGTTCAGTGACCTGAGTCCTGGAGTCCCAGAAACTGGACCAGGGGCTGGGCCCCCACTGACCTTCATCAGTGCTTGCTTTTGATTCCGTTGAACGTGCTAGTCCTGTCAAGATGCAGGCCTTCCCGACTCGAGAGCTGTGTTGCCCTGTGGGCATGTGGCCTGAGGCATTTGCTGTCCCAGAAGGACAGGCTCCCAGAACCGTAGCCACCGCCAGCTCCCTCTTAGATGTGGGAAACTGAGGCTCAGAGGGCTTTGTGCCCTGTCCAGGTGCACGGCCCCTGCTGGTGCGGGGTGAGCAGGGCAAGTCACAGGGAAGGAGTAAGGTCAGCTATTGGTGGATTCTAGAAGGGTGGTGAGGCCAAGGGATCCTCTCAGAGTAGGGTTTAGGATGTGCTTCGTAAAGACGAGACAGGAAGAAGCCCTTCTGTCTGGTACTTCCATGCCGGCCGTGGGTCTGAAGGCCCTTAAATCCGTACACCAGGCCTCGGGGGTCACGAGTGGGGCAGCTGGACCATGGTTCTCAGAGCCCCTTTGCTGCGTGTAGATGGGGGTCGGGGGAGGAGGCGGCCAGGAGCCGGACAGTTGGGGTCAGGGTCGGGGTGTTGGGGAGCATGCCTGCAGCTTGGCCCTGGGCAGATGGCCCCCAGAACGAGGGTTTTCTGCTCTCCAGCAGGGCTGTTCTCGGTTTGTCCTTCGGGCTGGTGGCCTGTGTGGTGGCGCTGGTGCTGGGCCTGTGCTTCGCCCACGAGTTCTTGGTGAGTGGGAGGCCCCTAGCTGGGCCCTGACCCACTGGCCCTCAGCGCCGCTCCTGCCCAGGCGACAGTTTGCAGAGCGCTTCTCCCAGTGGTTCCACCTTCCTTGGGCTGCTGGTGGCCCCCAAGTGGCTGCGGCTGTCCCCAGGCTCTGAGGGTGGGCACGTCCCTTCTGTCTGTGCACCCCATGGGTCCTGAGCTCTGGGCACGGGGCGCGGTGGGACTGCGGACCATCCCTAGCGGAGCTCTCGGGAGCCCCCACGTCTGCTGGGCACTTGGACCAAGGGGTCCTTGTCCCTGCGTTGGCGGCGGCCACCTGACCCCACGACTCCACAGAGGTGCTGCCCTGCCCGAGGGGTGTTGCAGGCCATCTCTGAGAGCGTGGAGACCCAGCCCCTGCTGCGCTTGTCCCTGGCCATCCTGACTATTGGCAGCCTGCTCAGTGTCGCCGTCGTCAACCTGGTGAGTTCTGGGGGTGGGTGGGGACAGTGAGCCCCGGGGAGGAGCCTGCCTGCCCGGGTGTGCTTCCTGGGGGGAGGGAGCCAGTCCTTGACCCTGGGCACCTTCAGGCTCTCGAATCCCACAGTCCCCCGCCTGAGGGCTGCATCTGGTGTAGCTCTGCAGGGCCCTGGGGGCGGGCTCCCCAAGGCCCCCAGAGGCCCGCCTGGGCTCCTTCCCTTTCGCTTTCCACATGAGGACCCGGGGCCCCCAGAGAGCTGATGTGGCCGGCCCCTCCAAGGACGGGATGTCTTGAACCGTGGGTGTTCTTGGCTTCCTCTGCCTTCTTCATCCTCCTCCTACCTGGGGAGGCCGTGGCTTAGTCTCTCTGAGACTGTTCCCTCTTGAGGGGCGAGTGGCCCCGGGCACCAGCTGGGAGGACTTGAGCCCCTGCTTCTCAGGCCTGGCTCCTGTGCTCAGTGCTGCGGACAACACGTGTCCCTGCTGGTCCTCCCAGCTCTGACCTCTCGAGTCAGGGGCTCTCTGTGGCTCTGAGACCCTGTGTTACCTGGGGAGAAGGGGGCTCACTGACCATGCCGATCCTAGCTTCTCCCCCGCCCTCCCCCCAGCCCCGAATCGGCCTCCGATGCTCTGGTGACCGTGCACACGGGGCTTCATTTTGCAGCCTCCTCTGCCCCAGACCCCTCCCCACCTCGAAGCTGATGCCCGTGGAGGAGGGGTGGGGCGCTCTGGCCACTCCTGGAGCGGGCCTGGCAGGAGATGCTCATGCCGCTCACGGAGGCCTCGGTACCCTGCCGACGACCCCTGGCCCTGCTCAGCCCGGGAAGGTCCTGGAATCCCAGGTCCCTGGACTCCCCGCTCACGGTGACCTGTCTCCTCTGTAGCTGCTGATGCCTTTTCTGGCCCCAGAGCTGCCTGCGGGCAACCAGACAAGCCCAAGCCCGATGGATGTGGGCAACACGTGTGAGCTCCTCCTGGTGAGTGAGCTGGGCCCTGGTTCAGACCTCTGGGTCCTGTGTGCCCTGAGATGGTCCTGCTCTTGCACGGTGCTCTGCCTGAGCGCCTGAGGCCCCGCTGCGGGAGAGCAGAGTCCAGCCTTTCCCGGGAGGTGGAGAGAGTAAGGCCCAGACAGGGCCAAGGTGGCCTCTGGTCCTGGAGGACACAGGGGCTTTGGGGCTGGTGTGGCTTCATCCAAGGTGTGAGGGCGGGAGCACCCCATGCCAGGACTTGTCTCCTGACAGCTCACCTGACAGCTGGCCCATGGATGAGGAGGGGCCCGGAGAGGTGGACTGGTGGGCCTCATGGGAGCTGGGCCTGGGGATCCTGATGGGCGGCAGTGGAGGGCTAGGGGACTTCAGGGGGCCGTGGTGAATTTCAAGCTGGTCTCTGCTGGGCAGGGGCTAGAGAGGGGACAGGGAGAAAACCTGAGGCACGCAGTGAGAGCGGGGGCGACATTTGGGATGTAGACCCAGAGGGGGGTTTGATCTAAATTGGGAGGAGCATGAGCGCCAGGATTGAGAGCTTGGTCTCTCTTTTGGGAGCAGTGGGGAGCCACAGCATGATCTTGAGCAGGAGAGTAACCTGGGCAGTGATGCCCTTTGGGGAGGGCAAGCTCGGTTGGGCAGAACTGGAGGTGGGAGGCTGTTGGGTGTGTGCACAGAGCTGCCCTCTCCCTTGTCACGTCTACAGGCTACTGCAGTTGCAGTTACTTCTGCTCCCTTCAGTGAGTTTACCTGCCATAAGTAGAAGTAAAAATACAGTGAAAACAGTGCGATGCCCCAAAGTTCTAGATTCTGTGGTCTGCTCTTTGCTAAGAGAGGTCACTGAGGCAGGAGAGCAGTGACCCAGGTGCTCGGAAGGTCTCGGTGCTGGAAGGGGGCTCAGAGGCAGCAAGCCGGCCCTGCAGGCGCACCCCCTCCTGGTGACCCTGGGTGCAGGCGCTGCTTCCTGGTGACGGACCCCTCCCCCCAACCCCCAGTATTACACCTGTAGCTGCATCCTGGCCTTTGTCGCTTGCTCGGTCTTCCTGCGGATGAGCCTGGAGCTGAAGGTTGTGCTGTTGACCATGGCCTTGGTGGCCTACTTGGTGCTCTTCAACATCCACCCGTGCTGGCGGTTGGACTGCTGTGGCCTCGTAGCCAACCTCACCGAGACCAACGGTACCCTCAGGTGGGGCCCGAAGCACCCCCAGTCCCACCACCTGTCTCGAGTGTGCTCCGTGGGGTGTCATGTCAAACCGTGCTGCATTTGCCTTTGCAGTCCCATCTGGACTGGACACCCGGGGGGGCTGGGCTGGCAGGTGGCACCGTCTCCATTTTAGAGAAGGGGACGGATGGTCCCAGGTCTACACTCAGAGCTGAAGAGTGGGACTCATCTGCAGGTTCTCTGGGGGACATCCCAAGTCCCACAGAGGCTTCCTGGGTCCTCCGGTGTCTCTGCCATTCTGGGGGTGTGGAGTGGGGCGGAGGCTTCAGCTCTAGGCCGCCCCCCCTCCATCAACCATGTGCCAGATCTCCACAGAATTCTGGAAAGAACAGTTGTTTCCAGCCTGTCCCTGGACAGGTGGCTGACCCCTGTGGCATGCGAAGGGACAGTGTGTGGGTGCCTCTGGGCGCTCTCGGCCCCAGGTAGGTTGAGGAGAGGGGCCTGGCTCCCCTGGAATTTGGGGACCCAGAACAAAACCTGCTCCCAGGGGTCTGCTGGCAGGGGCAAACTCCTTCTGCCGAACTCTAAGTCCCTGACTCGGGGGCGTGCTCGGCTGTCCCCTCACCTGCCTGCAGCGCTTTTCCTTCAGACTCTGGCGTGAGCCGAGCCGTCGCTACAGCGCCTCCTCCCCACCTTCCAGTCAAAGCCTCTTCTCTTTCCAACCCATAGTGGCCTGTCTAGTGTCTGTGCCCGGAGGGCAGAAGTCTGTCCCCCTCTGCCTCCCTGAGCCCCGCCAGCTGGGGCATCTGAGGGGCGGCGGGAGCAGGAGTGACTCTGGCCTCTTCCCTTCGTGTCCCGCAGCTCCCCACCGTGTGTGTGGAAGGACCCGAAGGCGATGATCAATTTCTACCTGGTTCTGTTTTACGTCACCCTCCTCATGCTCTCCAGACAGGTAGGGCCCGGGAAGCCCCGGTGGCCCGTGCTCAGCGGGGAGACACGGCCGGGCAGGGGCGGCGTGGGAGACAGCGCACAGCCCCCTAGGGAAGCCCTGGTCCTCAGGGTGGTGGTCCCCAAGTTCTCACCTCCCCTTCCCTCAGGACACCAGGGACATTTGGTCGCATGGGTCACTTGTGAACCGAGCCGAGGCTGGCTGGGATTCTGAGGCCACGGGGAGGTGGCCGTTGAGCTGGTGACATTTGCCGGGGACACAGGGTTGAAGTGCTGAGGGGCTGGCTCGGCAGGCCCCGGGGCTGCTCGTGTGTCCCACCCGCAGCTCGGTGTCCTCGCGTCCCTGCTCACGACGGCCAGGACACCGACGCTGCCTGCTGTCCGCAGATTGACTACTACTGCCGCTTGGACTGTTTGTGGAAGACCAAGTTCAAGAAGGAACACGAGGAGTTTGAAACCATGGAGAATGTGAACCGCCTTCTTCTGGAGAATGTCTTGCCTGCCCACGTGGCCGCTCACTTCATCGGTGACAAGTTAAATGAGGTGTGGTGCTGGCAGGGGCTGGGTCGCCCGGGTAGGGAGAGACGGAGGGTGTGGCTGCCGTCGGGGGCCCGCGCTTTCTGGGGCCGTGGTTTTCACCCATGTTACGGGGCTGTCCGGTGGTGCGTGGTTTGGGCATCGGCTGCACGTCCAGGCCTTGGTCTAGACGGTCCATGCGGATGAAAACGTGCATGTTTCACAGGTTCCGTGCAGCAGCGTTTTACAGAAGAGGGGACGGGCCCCAGGGCTTAGAACCCAGGCCTCCTGACTGTGACCTTCCCCCGCCCCTTGGCACTCAGCATCAGCCACAGGACCCAGGGGAGCGCAGAACCAGAACCACCCTGAGCCTGAACCGCCCGAACCAGGGCTCAGAATCTTTTTTTTTTTTTTTAACAGCCCCCAGAGAGGAGCTCAGGCGTAAGACAGGCCAAGCGACACTTGTGTCGCGCCCCCCTCCCCTGAAAGTGTAGTGGGCCGGGCCGAGGGGCCAAGTCCCTGTGCTTGCCTGTCCCCTCCCCCGGGGCAACTGGCACAAGGGCATCCTCTCCCCGCCCCCATTCAGGACTGGTACCATCAGTCCTACGACTGCGTGTGTGTCATGTTCGCGTCCGTGCCGGACTTCAAAGTCTTCTACACGGAGTGCGACGTCAACAAGGAGGGGCTGGAGTGTCTGCGCCTGCTGAACGAGATCATCGCCGACTTCGATGAGGTACTGCTGGCTGGAGGAGGGCAGGGTGCGGGCCGGGAGCGCCCCCCAAATCAGGAGAAGGACATGTGCGTCTTTTTCCTTGTTTCCCTCCATAAGCACTTTGTCATCTTCTCTGCGCGGGGCAGCAGGCTAAGGTCAGATTTGGGTCCTTGAAGAAGGCAGCGGTCTCTTTATCTGTGGCTCGTGAGCCATGGTCAGCCACGTTCTGGCAGATGACCCCCCCCCCCCCGACACACAGCCAGAAGGTCTGTAGTGGCCAGACACCACGTCGCAGCATCCCCGCCCTGTGCCGCGCTTCATCTCATTACGAGGAGGAGGAGGCATGAATACAGCACAGGAACATGTTTTGAGAGAGGGACCCTCCACGTCACTTGTTACGGCACGTGGCCCCGTTGTTGTTTTTCTCCGTGCCTGACTTCTCTCCACTAAACCTCACCACAGGCGAGCTCGTGGGCAAAGGAGCACACGCTGCACGGGGCTCGGGACCCTGCGGTGCGTGGCAGCCACTGGGGTCTGGGAGTGGATAAGGGGGTCTGTGTAGTTTGAGTCCCAGCGAAGCCATCCATGCTGCCAACCGTTCTAGAAGTCCATCGGTTTGGGCTTTTTTTTTTTTTTTTTTTGGATTACTTTATAGAGAGAGAGAGAGCACAGAAGAGGGGAGCAGGGACACAGGGAGAGGGAGAGAGAAAATCTTAGGCAGACTCTACCTCGGCACTGAGCCTGATGTGGGGCTCGATCCCAGGGCGCTGAGATCATGACCTGAGCCAAAACTGAGTCAGATGCTTAACTGAGCCATGAGGCGCCCCTGGATCTCATTCTTAGCTGCAAACATTCGACGTTCTGGGTAGGTGCTGTCGGGCTGCACTTGCTCCTTCAGAAGGAGAGTCCAGATGTGAACGGGAGGGCCGGGGAGTAGGGAGAGAGGAGGAGAGAACCAGAAACCTCGTCCCTGCATGGACTTGGCTGTCCACTCACGGGCGGGCCGAGCGTGAGAAGTGTCGGCATTAGGAGCAGCGGCAGGAGGGACCCCACCCCTTCTCAGACCTCAGGGTGTCCCTTTGTCTCACAGCTGCTCCTGAAGCCCAAGTTCAGCAGCGTGGAGAAGATCAAGACCATCGGCAGCACGTACATGGCGGCCGCAGGGCTCAGCAGCCCCTCAGGGACCGAGAACCAGGTACGGGGCTGAGCTGGTGGCCTCCTGTCCCAGTCTCACGTCAGAGGGATTCAACAGGTCCCAGACCTGTCCCACCCCACCTGACATGGGGGAGGGGGTGGGGAGACACCCCTTCCTGCCCAGTCCTATGAGGAAGGGCAGAGGACCTCAGGGCTCAGCCTGGGGTCACGCAGTAGAGGCCGGAAGGCGGGGCACGGTCCCCCCGGCTCCCGCACACAGCGCCTATCCCGCAGGACCTGGAGCGGCAGCGCGCGCACATCGGCATCATGGTGGAGTTCAGCATCGCCCTGATGAGCAAGCTGGACGGCATCAACCGGCACTCCTTCAACTCCTTCCGCCTCCGCGTCGGTGAGGGCCGGGAGAGCCGGCTGGGCCGCGCTCGGGGTGGGAGGCTGGGGCCCGTGGCTCCGGCGCGCCTGCGCTCAGGTCTGACAGGGCACTGCACGGTCCGGCAGGAAAGGTTTGACAACTCCCTCTTGTCTTACAACGCTGGCGACGGGGCAATTACTCTTGGTTTGCATTGTTTATCAGCTTACCTTTGAAAGTTCTGAGAGAGAGGAAGAGAACACTACGGAAAACTGAGAACCCCAAAATCACCTTCCATAAGTCTTAAAACATACTGAGAACAAAGCAAGTTATTAATCTAACTACTGGGTGTTAACTACTGGGTGTTAGCTAACAGGGCTGGTGCTCAAAGCCCGTTTGTCCTGTGTTGGGAGATGAGCAGATGCTAGGAAAGTGCAAACCTCAGCCCGATCTCTCAGCGAGCAGCTGGAAGAGGGCTGCCAGGGGAGCGCCACTCCTGGCCCCCGAATGAGAGCTCCTGCCACGGGCTTGGGGAGCTCTCTCCAACCCCCATTTCAGCGGTCAGTGCTTTCTGTGGCTGCCAGGGAGAGAGCCTGAGGCTCAGCCTCTCTGACACACCAGCTGCAAATGTCCCCTTCAGGCATAAACCACGGGCCCGTGATTGCTGGAGTGATCGGGGCACGGAAGCCTCAGTATGACATCTGGGGAAACACGGTCAACGTTGCTAGCCGGATGGAGAGCACTGGAGAACTTGGCAAGATCCAGGTACAACTCACCTGGGGCCCCTATGACCACAGGGAGACCCGCACATTGGTTAGCCCTGATGTGCTCGAGGGACACCAGACACGTGTGCAGCTCGGGGTTGGTTCTGCCTGACCCCCAACAGCAGGTGTCCTTCCTGCTTCCCATGACGGCTGTCCTCTTCCTTTCAGGTTACTGAGGAGACGTGCGCCACCCTCCAGGGACTAGGTTACTCTTGCGAATGCCGGGGACTGATCAACGTCAAAGGCAAAGGCGAGCTGAGGACTTACTTTGTCTGTACAGACACTGCCAAGTTCCAAGGGCTGGGACTGAACTGAGGCTTCTGGTAGGTGCAGAACATGCTGGAAGTGGATTTCCTTCCCCGAGGCAAGCCAAGGGGACCCCTCAGCCCCACGCCAGTCACAAAGGCATTCCCGGGGCTTGGCGGTCACTACCCAGCAGATGGCTGTGCGTGGCTCCCTCGGACTTGTGCCAGAGGGTTTCTGGGAAGGCGCATCAGACCCCAACCCGAGGCGACCACAGAGTCTTGCCACGCACGGGCAGCCAGGCCTCACGTGCCATCTGAGCCCGCAGCGCAGCCTCTGGACCGTGCGACCGGCTCGCCCATGCAGGTCAGCAGCTCAGTCCCCCCGGTGCTGTGGCCATCTCCCACGCGCCACACGTACCCTGCCTGGCCTGCGAGTGCACAAGCGGGACCGGTCTCTTCTAGGAACAGAACCAGGACAAGTCGTCCAGGATGGGCCGGGCACTCCTTGCTCCTTAGCCCATCAGCTGCAGGATTCTCCATTTCTCACGCAGGCGTTCCAGGAAATGGAGCTGAAAAGGCTGTTTTCGATCTGTGGTTTTACGCAGTAGGGAGGAAAAACCACAGCGGACACTTGCTGCCTCTTGTCATCTCTAGCAGGTGTCTGTTTTAAACGGCTGTAGTATTAGTGGAGGTTTTATTCTTTTTAATGACTTCCTAGATGCTAGACAAAGTCTCTTCCCCCCAGTGTGCTTTTTAGCCCTTGACATGGCACGAGAACCTACCGTCTAGTGTTCGTTTCTGGATTGGCCCAGCCGGGGGTGGTGTGGCCCGGAGTGCGGCTCCCCGCAGGAAGGCAAGCGGCGGTAGCCCAGAAGTCGGGCACCACCTCCTCGCCCCTCCCCGACCCGTCCGGCCTGCTGGGCGCTCCCCAGCAGCCTTCCGCGGAATCTTAGCTTCTGTGGTGGAAAGGAGTGGAGTCTGCAGACAGGATGCGGGCCACCTGTAGCGCTTCCTTCCTTTTCTTTAGTCCTCACACCTAACTTGAGCTTCAAAATGAAAAACAGCTACTCCACATAAGCGTGCAGAGGTTGGCCGTGTGGGAAGCCAGCCCGCTCGGAAACGCTGGGACGGTCTTGCTCTGAACCGCAGGGATCAAGGGCAAGTGCGAAAAGCCAGGTTTGCGAGCTGCGCCTCAGCGCGTCGGCTGTCGAGAATCAGAAGTCAGCCTGAGTTGTGTTTCAAGGTGAGGAGGAACCGAACCGCCCCCTCCTTTTGCTGGGTCAGCTTCGCTGCCGCCTCACCAGAGCGTGCCCGGGGTTTCTCCCCCAGCTGCACTCCACTACAGAGCAGGGATTCCCAGCTCGGGGTCCTCCGGGAACCCCCCGCCATTCTGGGAAATCTTGCACATGGGAGACTTCAAAAGCGGACGCGGGGCTGCAGCCAAGGGCAGGGAGGACTGCAGCTGACCCCGCGGTCTGCTCGGACCCTGGATGCGGGCTTGTCAGCCTCAGAAGGGGCTTACCCGGTCTGCCAGAGGGGCCGGGTGCACCAGCACCGCGAGGCCTGCGTGTCACTAGAAGAGAGATGAACGAGGTACAAGAACTTGCCGTCCAAAGGGATTCTATGGCAAAAATACTGTTAAGGGGATTAACCTCATTTAAAGACTGCTTTTCTGCACCAACTTTTCATATAAAGGAATGGTTTCCGGTGAGTACTGCACTGTGACCTGTACACTTAATTGGCAGCGACCAGGGCCGCGCAGCAGGGCTCCCTTGAAGAGTTCAGGAAGGTTCTGTCACAGATACAATATGGATGCATGTAGGTGGGCTGGGGCTCTCTGAGGTGGGCCTACTTCTACTCTGGCAATATTTGAGTTACTTTTATCCTTCAACAACAGAAATCCTCCTTTTATTTCCAATTCAAGCACGGTGCTCCGATAAGCACATTTTGGAAGTTCTGAGTTTCTGATGTGCCGACCACCATGTGGGACGGACCCTAAAAGGCACCTGCTGTCACTTTTGTTCAGTGTGTTTTCCAGGGGCCGGGCCCTTTCCTCACAGGCATCGTTCTGTTTTATGATAGGACACGTACCTTTTCCAACACTGACCTTTCCTAGGGGCCATGGGGCGGTGTGAAGGTGGCCTCCCCGACTCCAGTGAAAGTCACACCTGAAGTCTTCTGGTTTACTCATTAAGAAAATTTCCTAACAGAAGATCACTGAGCGCTGCATACATGGTGTATATAATAGGTCATGTCCAAAACCAGGTTTTGAGAAGGTACATATGAATAACTAGGAATTATTCTGTATACTGACTATTTATAGATCTGTAACATTTGTTTCAAAATGTTATACTTCATTTTTATAAAGTACCAAGTGTTTCTACTCTGTTTAGCCTTTCATATATTAAATCAGCAATTTGGAAAAACAATGTCCTAAAGTGTTTTGAATTTCAGTGTTTTCTTGGTCTGCTTGAGAAGATTACTGCCTGAATAACAACTGAAAGATTAAAATTAAGCTCTAAAAAAGACTTGATAAAATACATAACAATTTTGAAGTTCTTTGGGCCTATGTTTTCAGTAGATTTTTAAGACTGGGTGTGTTGGACAATCAGTTTTCCTTCACCCCACTTATTCTTGCTAAATGTTCATTTTCAAAGTCAGGAAGATAAAAATAAAACGGCTTCCATCCAGGGGGCAGGGGAGTCTTATAGGGGCTCCGTACAGCCCAAGTCGGGTTCCCTGAAGCAGGCTGCCATGTGGTGTCTGGTTAGGGAAGAGGACCACATGTCTCCCGGTCTCCCACTCCGTTATCTGCTCAAGCAGCCGACCTTTGTATTTCAAGATAAAAGTAGAGGACATGCTCAAGGGACATGCTCAGGCACAGGTGGCCCGGGAGACATAGTAAACAGAAATGTAAACTTTAAGTTCTGTGATTTCCTTTCTTATTTAGCTTCTTTTATTGTGGTTCTAAGTGACCCTCTCAAAAATGGAAAAACTAAACCAAACAGCACCACTGGACAGGTTAGTGCTATGAAGCTTCTGGTGTGATCTTTGGGGGGCTGGGGACAGGAAGAGTGGCATAGGGGAGGTACCTCATCACCTCATCCTTCTATAGGAGGACAGCATTCCTATCAGTTATGCTGGGGACACGCACTTAAAATAATCTTAGAATCTACTAGTATTTGTTTTCACAGTGTAATGATGGAAAATCTTACTGGATAGGGATTTTAAAGAAGCATCTGAGCTCTGGTCCTGTCTGTATGCCCTAAGGAAAGCGGCACTGTCACTATTCTGACCCAACTGTGCCCAAGCCCACTCGGGATGGCAACAGGTCTGAGTCCGTCCTATTCCTTTCTCACGAGGCCCTTCTTTGGATAAATCATCTAGGTGAAATCTGGTAAGTCAGGAACTATTTGGTTGTAATTTCTTTAATGAGTTTTGACAAATGCGGAAAAATGAGGGAGTTCAGTTATTTGGGGGGCTTGCTGCCTTTTTTTTTTGGGAAGATTTTATTTATTTGACAGATCACAAGTAGGCAGAAAGAGAATGGGAAGCAGGCTCCCTACTGAGCAGACAGCCCGATGCGGGGCTCGATCCCAGGAGCCTGAGATCATGACCTGAGCCGAAGGCAGAGGCTTTAACCCACTGAGCCACCCAGGTGCCCTGGACTTGCTGCTTTTAACGAAGGGTCCCGAAAAGGCTGTTTTATTTCTTAAGTGTTTCTCTATCACTTCCCCCTCAGACCCAGCCCTGGGGAAAGGTCAAGGGGCAACTCAGCTGACAGTACCAACAGGGCTCATAGTCCCAGGCTCAGCTTTATTACCTAATACAAGTCCAATCTCTGGAACATTAAAATTAATTGTTCCAAAGTTTAATTAAAAACACAATTTACAAATATTTAATATCTTCTGAAAAGCATTTCCAAGTTAAGAATGAAAAAAAATATGTACATAATATATAATGAAATACCAGTGAGCTTCAAATCCCATCAGGTCCACACTCGGCAACACCAGTCCTTTTCAGTTCTTCAAAATCTGAAAGGAAAAGTTACGGCCTCATTCAGCACTTTTCCCCTTTTAATTAAAAGGTAAAGGTATCATCCAGAGGAGTTAAGTGCTGACAGCTCTTCTTTACCTCGTTCAAGGTTAAAGACTAGATGTACTACTAGGGTATCATTGTAGGGTTTTTTTTTTTTTTTGCAAATGTGTCAAATCTTTGTTTCCCTTACATCTTGTCTAAAGAATTAATAAAAACACTTTATACAATGTCAACACACAGAGATAATTTTTCCAGTGTTCCTCGAGGGGAGGACTGATGTTCCTTTACTCACAACAGCCCTCCGTCCTCCCAGAAACACAGGGCACGTACCTTCTGTTAAATCTACAAAGTTGTTTTCCACGATGGGGGAGGGGATGGAAATCCCCATTGCTTTTCGAACTCCATACGTGCTGACAACGTCGCCTGGAGTGACTTGCTGTGCAAGTTCTTTCAGATTGTTGGTCACCTGTTCAGCTAGGGAAAAGAAAAGAGAAACAGTTCTAGGTGTTAAAACATGGTTCCTTTACATAATGAACAAAAAACAAAAGAGCAATGCGAAGCCGACCCTGGAACCGCAGGGGCTGGAGGTGAGCCGGTCCACGGATACAAAGATCTTTTTTTTTTTTTTTTTTTTTGACAAGCACAGGACTGTAAACCTATTCTCTTCGTTATTATTTTAGCATTTTCTTTTCTTTACTGTACCATAAGAAACAGTATGTAATACATTCGACATACTAAATATGTGTTAGTTGACTGTTTGTAGGTAAGGCTTCCAGTCAGCAGAAGGCTGTTCAAGTTTGGGGGGAGTCAAAAATTACACATGGATTTTCAACCCGCGGGGCGGGGGAGGAAGGAGGTCAGCTGGCACCCCTAACCCCTGCGTTGTTCAAGGGCCAACTATGTAAATGCAATAAAGAAACCATCCGTGGTTCACTTCAGCGCTGCTGACAGTGGTGTCACTTCTCAGAAGGTTTTCCCTTTAAGGATCCCACTCCCCTTTTACCGGAGGTGTAACATACCGAGATGCATTTCCCTGTACGATGGACCCAGGAGACAGATCATGTTGGGAGGGGGTCTGGTGCTCAGACGCTCGTTCTGGGCTTCCTGGAGCTCTCGGAGCAATCTGGTGGTCTCATCAAGTTTCCTCTGGAACATTTCAGCTTCTGTGTGGTGCGAAGAGTAACACACTAAAGAAAACACGGACCCACCTGTGTTTGACCTTGGGCGGTTAAGTGTGTCCTATGCTCTGGGGTTTTGCTACTTATCGGCTAGTTTTCTCTCCTCAAAGCAGTAATCCCCCTTAAAAGAAATCAACACTAGAGACATGCTTTACTCTTCACGGAAGCATGGCCAGTCAAGATCTTCCTGTGGTGAGTGGCAGGGTCAATCTGGAGTAAGGTGACACTAAATCGTGACTGCCCGGGTCATGAAGGGACACTCACCCTCAGAGTCAAAAACTTCAACAGGAGCACCAAAATTTGTTACTGCTTTCAGTGCTGTGAGCCGGTCCCGACTGCTGGAGTCTAAATGCCCCGCTGGCTCTATTTCTGTAATCTGCTTTAAAAAGGGGGAAAAAAAAAATTATTACCTGGGCTTGTTAAGCCCCAGCGGTGCTAGAATGAGACCTCTGTAAGATGGTTTGTGTTTCCAGGCCACGTTATCGCACCTATTCACTTTGGAGTTACAATTCTGATACCTACAAAACCATCCTAGAATACTTATAGAGTGCCATTCCCCAATCTGGGCCGAACACTATCCACAAAGGCGTACTTCCCGAAAATGAAATGACGTGTCCTACACAACACCCATTGTTTGTTCCACCCAGCAGCCTCTCTAAAGATGGAAGGAACAAGGGCCTTGGTCCTGTCTATGCCACTGGAGCTGGAATTCCTGGTGGACTGGGATGCCTCGGAAACCGAGGCTCACCGGCAGTGTTTTGGCCCCAGTGCATATGCTTGCTCTCCCGCCGCAGAGCCTGAGCCTGAGGTGGTGGACTTGGCTTCTATTGTATTTGCCTCTACTGTGTTCTCTTTAGTCCCCTCCCTTGTGTTGCCGCTCGTCAGAGTTTTACTCAGACAAGCCCCAGAGCCCTTCACAAGTCTCCTCCTCCAAACCCTCTCCCCCTCCACATTTCCTCAGAGCCTCCCGTCTTCTGGGGCAAAATCTCAGCTTCTCCATCGTCAGGGCCTCCCCTGTGCAGGCCTCCGCACCTCCCCTCCTCTGCTCATAAATCATGCTCACATGCCAACTGTGCTCTCCGCACACGGGCCTTGTCCCCTTGTGTCTGCTTCTGTCACTACACGTGCAGTTTCGGCCCACTTCCCACTGCCCGTTGGGAGAATGTCTTCATCTTTCTAGGACCAGCAGGCCCAGTATGCTCTCTGGGAGGACTTCCTCGGCTATGCAGAGCAGCGGGTGTCTGCAATCTGCGTTCCTATAGCACGTACATTTATGCAGCGTGGTGGGCGGGGCCGGCCCCGGCTCACAGGCCCGTGTGCTGCACCAGCCGCTGCCCGCTCCCCACAGGCGGAGAGAGTGCTGTTATTTACGAAGATACGCAACAAATAATGTTCTTTTAAAATAAAGCTTTATCATTTGGGCCTTTTGGCTTAACCTCCCATTAAATATTTTTTATGAAGAATGAAATACAATCACCTCCATTTCTTTTTCAGAGTCAAAGCTCCCAGTCTGGCTGTCGTCTTCAGGTGATGACTAGAAGTTTAAAGACAAACAACTTTTTATTCAAAGATATATTAAAGAGGTAAATATCAAGGAAAATAAAAAAAAAATGTTAAGAGTTTCAAGATAAGGAATAAGAATATGGATTACTGGAATTTAATTTTTTAAATAAAAAAAACCAAGTCAGATACAGCAAGTGGGCATTTTGAGAGTACTTGTGTCAAGAGTACCTATTACTGGTACTCCAAGATTGATCTTTCTGTGCCTGAGCAAAAAAGCTATGAACATATATGAAGGTATCTGGTAAATAGCACAGAAGTACCTAATAAATGGGAGTCGGTTTTCAACAACAGGTGAGTCTAGCACAAGCAGAAAATAGAGGCATTCTAGGGACTATTTTGCATTAAGAGAGCAACATTCTCGGATAAGAGAGGATTACTATAAAATATTCAAATGCTATGGAGAATGTGAAAGCTGCCTATAATCCTACCTGTCAGAAATCACACACACACATAAACAACAGACAAATGTATCATGCATGAAAATCAATAATGATGCGATCTTTTTGAAAGGCTATATTATGATTTTTTGACCAATTCCCAATTTTTTAAAATTATAAATAATGTATCCTTATATATAACTTTTTAAAATTTTCTAAGACGCAGCCTGCAAAGATACGCTGGATCAACAGAGAAACTTTAGATCTGAAATCTACTGCCCTACCCAACCAAAGGAAAGCTATTCAATTGTAGCTGAAGACTATTAATTAATTCAGATTCATGGAAGGGTTACAGGAAAAATATTTCTGAACAGATGTGAAATGGCACTTTTTTTAGGTCACGTGAGGAAAGCCGTTCCTGCATGAAGATCGTACGGCAATTCTCACTGAACCTGAGGTGCTGACCCAGCACTGCCGAGTCACCCAGGGCCCAGCAGCCACGTGGGGGCAGAGGACAAGCCAACAGTAGCCACAGGCCTCAGGAAGAGGACCCCTGGAGACACAAACAGGGTTCTTCTAACTACGGTGACAAGGACATTGTGGAGCTTGACTCTCCTCTACTTATCAGGAGGGACATTTTCTGGTTCTAATCTTTGAGCTGAGGGTGTGATTATTCCAGATGATGAACTATGGCCAACTAAACTGGAGACAGTTTACAAGTTTTAACGGCAGAGAGCAAAGAGGAAACTTCTTACTTTTTTCCTTGTGACCCCACCGCTGTGCTGTTACTGAATAACAAAGGAAAGGACATTTTCTATCATTTTAGTCAACTCAGTTTCAAGCCAGTGAGCAACACTTTCCTTTTTTGTTAGGGTACAGAGCACGAGCTGAATTCTGAGTTGTTAACTCCATTCTGATTCCTACATTCCCAAGATCGGGAGATAATGACGGTCTTCTGGCCCTCACAGACCCTGGTAGCTGACTTACCATTTCCGTTCATTGTCCTCCACCCGAGGTCCCCACCCAGGCCGGCCTGGCTTTTCAGGGGAATGCAGCTCAGCTGTCACCCTGGTGACTCCCATGGTTTCATAACACTGAGTGACTAATGCTCAGAGCCAACAATAAATTACCCATTTCTTGAGCAGCCTTCTTACCATCTCCAACTCTTGCAGGGTTCTAGAATGGCCTCCTTTCGTTAAAACATCCAGTAAACTGTCCGCCATCACGTAAGGATAATCCTGGCATGTGGCCAAAAACTCATGGATGCTGAAACAGAGAGAGCTGGAATGTCACTTCCATATAAATCGTCCATTGGCTGAATCTTTCTATCCCAGTCAACGGTTTCCATCAGACACGCCTCACTTTACGTGCCAGGTGTGAGAATCTTCGTTTAGGTCCGTCACCCTATTTACAGATTGACCAGTGACACCTTTATCACCTCGAGCGAACTAAAGAGCATCAAGAACACAGTGAAATGAAATGCTCCCGGGGCAACCTTCAGACAGAAACAAGACTCTCTGAGGCGGAGGCTCCAGGGCTCCGTCCTGGACTTGCTCCTGCCCTTCGCCTCCTCCCTGAGGTGACCTTATTCCCCGCAGGACTTACACGTGTCCCAGGAGTCCCCAGGTTACCCCTCCGGTTCGGACCACGCCCCCAGATATGCACAGGTCTGTCAGTGTTTCAGGAGAACGTGGCATTCAGGACACCGGCGAACCCGTCACTCACCTGAAATCACTGGGAAGGTCAGAGTCTTCCCCATAGGCTGAATAGATCAGATCCGAATCGTCCTTGCTAATATTTGCAAATGTGGAGTCATAATGTGGAGCATAAGAACTGTAGGGCCCGTAATTCAAGTATAACACTGTCGACAGAAATCAAATACTACAATACTATTCTATTACTTGTGTGTCAATCTAATTTTGGTTTTACTAAGGTTATTCCCGTCTAATTTTACTACTTCACTGACAGGTATAAAAAATCCAAGGTAAGTGTTTCCCCCTCCCAGATCCTTGGGGAGTCATAACTCAAGTGACTTTTTCCCCACAAAGGGGAGACAGAAGAAAGCAAGCACAAAACTCACTTTGAATACTAATAGCTGATTTTACAGCTTCTTCCAGAGTTAATAAAACAGCTGATTCATGTTGCAAAAATACCACCAAGAGAATTAAAGAAATGGTAATTATGCTTTTTCCCTCCCCTAACTGCTTGGGTGAGAAGAGAAACACGAAGGCTTACCTGGAGTGACTTTGTTCCTTTTGTCTTCCTTGAACCCCTGCAAAGTATTCACTCCAGACTGAAGCCTTCCAGTTGTCATTCCCAGTCTCACGGGGCAGTAGCCTGGTTCTGAAACGGAAGAGCAGTGCGGGAGGTGCACACAGTCAGGAGCCGAGGGGGACTCCGCGGGCTGTGTGCACGCACGCTGCTTCGTGCCGTCTCTGTGACTCTGTCCAGGAGCCTGGGTGGCCCTTCCTACACCCAACATTTACCTACAGAAATCTCGGCAAGGAAGGAGCATAGCCAGCACCCGCAGCCGATCCTTTTCATCATACTCTACTGTTTTCTTGCAATTCTTTATAATCATGTTGCATTTCACTTAAAAAAAATAATTAAGGATTTAAAGGTTGAAACAACTTTGATGGAAGTAAACCAGTAGAAAAGGTTAGTAAAAGACTAAGGAAAAATACCTGATTAAAGACAAGAACTCATGATATATTCAGGAAAAAACTAGTACCTATGAGGCAGGCTACTTCCCCTGCCACTGTCCAGAATAGAGGCTGTGGCCACAGGTGACCACAGTGACAGAATGAAAGCGCCTGAGAGATGTGGCACACCTAAATTGGGTCTGCTCTCCCTCGAAGCAAGCAGTCTGCAAGGAAGATGAACCTGAGAAGTGAACAGGGGCAAAGCTTCCACCGCACAGCAGGACATGGGCCCTTTGGGGGCTGCTGCCATGTGCAGAGCTCAGCCTGGGCCACACAGACCCTCCAGGAACGGAAAGGCAAGACAGCAGAGCAAAGGCAGACAGACCGTGGGACACAAAGAAGGGGCAGATCTTAAGATGTCACCTAAATCGTTAGCTGCATCTCCTTACCACCAAATCTTTACCACGACTATACCAGAAAGAGCAGTGTTCTCAGTCTGGCAGCATTTCCGTTGATCCAAGACCATAGAAACTTCTACTATGCAAAGTTCGCATAAAAAGCAAAAAGTGAGGTTTTTTTTTTTCTCTTACCCTGGACAACACCAGTTCCTCTTTTTTTTTAATAATTTTTTTTTTTAAGATTTTATTTATTTACTTGACAGGGAGAGATCACAAGTAGACAGAGAGGCAGGCAGAGAGAGAGAGAGAGAGGGAAGCAGGCTCCCTGCTGAGCAGAAAGCCCGATGCGGGACTCGATCCCAGGACCCTGAGATCATGACCTGAGCCGAAGGCAGCGGCTTAACCCACTGAGCCACCCAGGCGCCCACCAGTTCCTCTTCTAAGCCAAGGAACCCTGCCAGTGTTTCAAGAGCAGACTGCGATGCTCGAAGACATCAGTGGGCTCCCTGGTGCACTTCTCAAATGCATCCACAGATGCGTCAAGGTCTCTTACCCTCACCCCTCACCCTCGCGTTTTTGGGACCAATCTAAACATCACCTCACTAAGGAATAAGGAAGCCTTCTCTGGCCCTGACACCAGGGCTGCTTCTGCTGCGTGCTGTCACAGCTGCCCTCCTCATGGCGGACGGGATGCGGCTCCTCACACGATGATTCACTTTCGTTCCTCCACTCGCCACCCCAGACGAAAGGGGAAGGGACTCCTCTCTCCTGTTCTGCTCCCTACCTTACACCCTGCTCCACCTCCCGCTCCCAGGCCGCGCCTGCAGCACAACGGTAAGTACTGGAGACCGTTCACTGAAGTGTCATCACTCGTTTCCGTGTGGCCAGTGATCTCGCTCATGATGGCAGCATGCAATGGGTGTTTATAAAGTAACATTCTCAGGTTTGCTTATCCTGACATACGCTCCTTCCCCTCAGATGAATGACGAAAAGTTCTTCTTACGTCACATCTCAAACTATTCCCTATACTATCGCCATTAAAATACCACCTGAGAAAATAAAAATATGACTGGGGTTCTAAAGCCATGCTTCCCAACCTTTACCAACTTGCGACCAGCCACAGCGACACACCGCGTTAGCAGACCTGTTCTCCCGTGACTAGTATGGAACTACAGGGCATGCATGTGTGCTCTATTCACTAAAATTTAAAAAGCCAGTCAGATTTATGAGGTTATGATAAGGGAGTTTTGAGATACCTCCCAAAATACTGAGTGTACATACCATGGTCTCTTAGAGCCAGAGCTAGAAATTATGTCATTTTTCGGCTTTATTGGTGGGTCTGCTATTCCAGGGACTTTGTATTCTAGAGAAGCCTGGATCTACATAGCACCTGTTTTAAGATGAGGTAAATTCGGGCTAGCTATCAGCCAAAATGCACGGTGTCTGGCCAAGTTCTCTGGGGAAGCTGACACAGGTGGACTGCTCAGTATCACCCGGGCTACTGCTTGTTGCCAAACAGCAAATTCATGCACATTATGATCTGTGAACTTACCTCCTACAATGGGATCCACAGGATGGAGAAGCCCCAATGTTGTTGTTCCATCTGGTTTTCTCCTTTCAAACTCACACTGCAATGACCCGAAGTATTCAAATGTCATAAACCATTCTATATATACCGCATTCGTATGCAAGTACATGTGCGTATATATATCTCATACTAGAAAGCCTTAAATTTAATCAAACTAGTATTAAGAGTTATTACTGTTATACTTAGATACTGACTTTCCCACTTGGCTCCATACACACAAGGGCTAATGCGCTGCAGAAATGAAGGTTAGGGAGAACTCAGGATGGTAAAGAGCTGTGTGTGGGGGCCTTTAGGCCCCTCTGTTCTGCCTACTCTATTAAAGAAGGAGGATACTGGAGACCAGGGGAGGGGACTGACTGCTGAAAGTGACATATTAATCCACTTTGTTTTAAACCAATGTGCTAAACAATGATTTCAAGAGGCCAGAGTATAAATGTTCATTTTCCAAGTTTAGAACACATTAACCGCACTAAAATCCAGTAACAGAGGAAAAGATTCATCATGTACTTTACAAATAAATTATTAAAATGGACTTCTCTGCGTGTTGTACTGAACTGCTCTACGGCAGGTATGGGTTGAAAGTGCACAAGCAATCTGACTGCACGCCCCCACGACCACACAGTAGGTGGTGAGAAGAAGAAAGACAAAACCCAGTCACCTGGCTGTTAACAAGCCGCCTGGTCAGCTTTCCTCCAGATTCCTTAACGATGCGGTCTATCTGCTCCTGCTCTCTTTCTATAGTATTGCTCTTACATTTATCTTCAAGTGTATCTTTGTCTTTCCTGTAAACACACATTAATACTAAGTAAAAAAAAAAAAAAGATAAGATGAAAACATTAAGATCTGTTCCAAATGGGAGCACAACTCAATCGGAGCCATTGGCACTACGGTGGCCCATTAAAGCTCTGTTGCTCCGGCGGCCCGGGAGCACCTGTAACACCTGCGCAGCGAGGCCGACCTGATGCTCGCCTCAGTTCTCTCCTGTGTGTGTCCGGCACTATGTCGGGCGTTTTTCTCAATGCAGTCACACAAATGGATTCTACCTCAAAAGGGACACATCATTTTCTTTTTAAAGTCCAGTTTCTAAGTTTAAAATGAGATACATTTTAAATTATACAAATCTTAGAATAAGAGTACGTCACAAATTTACTTTCTTTGCCTTACGCCGACAGAAATCCCAGCCTGCTCACTAGAACCCTCTTCCAGAGTGGACAGGGAGGTGCGGGGCCTCAGGGCTGCTGGTCAGTCAGTGGTGGGAGCAGGTGAACACAAGCGCGCCCGGCCATGGCCGGGGCTGCCTGGGGGGACCAGTGCTGAGTTACCGCTCCTACCAGGTGCCGTCTGGTGGAGGCCACACACACACCTCAGCAACGGCCCATCCATTAAGGAAGCAGCTTCGACTATGCACAGTCTGAATTTATGGTCTCAGACCCTTTATGGAATGAGGTAACAAATGCAGATGTTTTTCTTCAACAGAGAGTTCTATTTCAATAAATTCACAAAGTCCCTAAAGATAATTTACTGGTTTTAAAACTACCTTCATAAGAATACACATTCAGAACTGTTTTCTAAACTATGTTTAAACAATTCCATATAGTGCTTTGTATGAGCAGATGGGAATTATCACCAAAATGGACTTTCATGCCAAAAACCAACCATGACTTGGTCTTCCCAAGGCAGGCACTGAAACAGTATTTTCCCCCCTTAATGGTCTGAAAAAGATAGCTTAACTTAAATATTCCAAAGATTCTTTACTTTTTGTTTTCCTTATTGGGACTCTTGAAGGCTTGTGCTTCAGTATCTCCAGAGTCTTCCCTTTCTCTCGGCCAGCAGCCGCTGTCCTCCCCACTCTGCGAGGTGTCTGTTCTATCTTTCTGCTTTCGACTTTTCTGCAAGTCTGCCATGAATTCTATGCTCTGCTTCAGGCTCTGAATTCTCTCCTAAAAATATTCAAGAATATTCTCATTGCATATTTGTCATTAATTTTTAAAGTGATGCATTTCTTTCTCACAATGTGAGTTTGCACTTACTCTGTCATTAACTAGGGAAGAAAAGCAATTAAAAGTAATTATACCAAGAAAGTATGTTTGGGAACCAGGACAATACTGTCTATTTCTTCAATCCAGATAATTTAATTTCCAACGTTAAGAGAATGATTTTTAACTTGACTACATCATCAAAACGTTTGTAGAAGAGAAAGCATGAATAAGTACTAAGTATTCTTTGCAGTACTAACTTCAAAAAGGAGAACTTAGTTTAACATTATGCTTAAATTTTATATATAACAGAATGGCTTTTTTTTTTTTTTTTTTTGGAATTTAAGAGTTACCAGGTATTTCAAAAGCTAGAGGATGTGAACACGTGAGTACCCTTATACTCCAGTATCCTAGGATCACCTGAGGCCGCTGGCATTTCTCTCTGTGTGAAAACATGCTTCCAGGAGAATAAAAGGTTGCTAGCATAGTTTCTTTCCCAGAAATCATAATGTTCTTCTTACCAAAGTAGTCTTGTTTCTATTTAGTGAAACATGTACTTAATTTTCCACTGCATTGGTATGCTGTGAAATTTTCTTTGTGGCTGAGGGCTTGAGGTTTCTGGAGGCACATTGGTTTCTAGCAACTATTCTGCCTTTTAACTCTGAGCACTGTCCCTGGATAAAATACGGGCTGCATGGCAACGCCATGGAAGACTTCTGCAGAATAATAGAAACTGAAAACTGGAAAGGACCAGAGGTCATTCAAATAAGAACAACATAGCCCAGAAATGCTAAATACTTCACCTAGGGTCACAGAACCAGTAATGAAGGCCAGGCCTCTGGGGTCTCATGAGGGGCCCTGTCTCATCACACTGCTGAATTGGCAGTGCAGACTGTGAGAGCTTCCAGAATGAGGAGCTGCTGTTTCTACTGAACTTTTATTTTAAGGTAATCTTAAAACTATCCAAGTAATATATTTCATTGTAGACAAAGATTTGGGTAGAGGAGAAAATATAAACTTTGTTAATTTATCATTAAGCCACTATTTCTCTAAGCATAACACATACTAGCAAATTAGAATTAAACTGTATATTTGGTAACATGAATTTTTTATTAATGAATTATAATAATTTTTCCTCCGCATCATTAAATACTCTTTAAAGACTTTTTAACAAGTGTATCGTATTTTATCCTGTGTACCATGGTCTAATTAACATTCCACTACTGGACATTTAAATTATTTCCAAGTTCCCACTATTACAAATAGTTCTCATGAACATCACTGTAAATAAATCTCTCCAAGAATATATCTTTAGGATGAATTCCCAAAAGTGATACTGGATGTTAACTATATTAAAAAAATAATCCTAGAAGTGAAAACACTAGGTCATCAGGTTTTGATATTTACTGCCAAACTCCTCTCCAGAGAAGTTTTATCAATGCATGTATCAATGTTTTAAAGTTTCTCTGAATCCTTATCAAACTGAATAGTATTTAAAAGAATGTGCCAATTTGATTTTTAAAAACATGTCTTATTTTAATATACACCTAAAAAATATTAGTGAGTATGATTATCTCTGGAACTTTTTGTATTTTCCCTTGCGCATGTCACTTAGGTAATTCCTTACCCAGCTCTATCTCGAGGACCTAAATCAGAGACTGGTACACTGCTAGTACCCAATAAATGGTGTTAAATGAATGGGCTTAGGTCACGAAGTTCTCAGTTATCTTTTTATTTCCACTTTAGAATTTTATAAAGCAGAACCTACATTAAGAACATTTTGGAATTTAAAAAAATATCACACACACAAAATTAAGAGAATTAGAGAAATCTTCTAAATTTCAACATAAATCATTGGAAAAAGCTGAGTTTGATTTTACTTTGAAAGTCTTTTTTTTTTTTTTTTTAAATAATTAAGATTGTCTCTGAATCAGCATACTATTTATTTTCCTCAATTTTACAACATCAAATGACTGAAAGGGCTTGACTCTTTGCCACAGCTGACACTCGCGTGCTTATACATGCATCCTGCATGGCCGCCTGGCTCCACGAGGTAAGGACTACAGAGGCTGAGCAAGGTCACTCAGCATCTCGAGTGCACAGCCAGGACATGAACTTTGATTCTAAAGCTACTGTGCTACAAAGAGTAGTCTGCATTATTCTTTGTAGTATAATGCAGCATTCTAGTATTTAGTTAGGGGAGCAAAAAAGTTATTCGACTATGTCCGCTCTTCATAAAAATGTCCACTAATAGTCGCTACTTGTGTGTAAATGAAAAAAATGATAAATGTCTGCTCTATAATCTTTACACTGAACATTCAAAACCAGTGATCTTTTAAAAAGACACCATTCATGGGACGGGTGTGCTGGCCTCCCTTGGGAGTACCGCTATTAGAAGAGTTAACTCAGAAGATCTAAATTTAAACATTTAAAAATCACTGTTGTAAGGATCCCTCCCATTTAGGGTGGAGAGAACAGTCAACAGGAAGCTATAACACAGGATGGGTAGGGCTCCTCAACAGGAAGAGATCTGAAAAAAAGGAAGACAACAGAGAGAGAAAAGGGAAAGTGGAGAAGAAAGTTTATTTTCTGTGCTTCCAGCCATCCCACCCCCAATAAAATTCAAGAGATACCGGAATCTTTTGCATGTTATATTAACTATATTATGTGAAGAAAAGAAAATAATGGTAAATCAAAGTTGATAAATTTACTTGGGATACTGCAAATTAAACTTCTCTACAAAAATTTAATGTGCACATTTTGGAGGGACTAAAGACTACATCTGCAGGATGCACTTTCATTTCAAATGTAGTAACAAGCATTTGCAGATTTTTAAACCTGGAATATGGCTTGGGGCTGGACTGAGTCTTCCTGCAAGGAGTGGGATAAACATTTTATAGTCCCCTTTCCTTTGTAGATTTTGCCAAAGACGGGTAACTGGTTTACATTACAGTTTCTTAAGTCTGTAGGAAAGGGCAGGACCTGATGCCGCCTGAACATTAGGAGTACAAGAATCATCACCAACGCAAATGTTTTTCCTTCCCAGTTAAATGGATCTGAGAATCATTGAGAGCCAAGCCCATACTCCGACATCTGCACACCAAGGCAACTCTTCAAATGTAAAACTGTGATACAGATGGTCATTGTAATAAGTGGGAAACTGTGTGCATCTACACATGACTCATTCCTACTCTCCTCTAACTCCTCTGAGTCTGGGCCCAAGCTCTTCACTCTGATTTCTTCCTCGTGCTTCCTGACTTATACCCCCACTCGTCTCTTCTTTGCAAAATCCCTCTCCTGTCTTGCTCTCCTTTCTCTAGTCTACTGCCTACCCTAGCTCTGAGAGCTGGCACCCTAATGCTCGCAATTATCTTGGGAGACTGCACTTTAAACCTTCTTCTACACACGTGAGAACACCGAGGCCCAGTGTGGTTCATGTCTTGCCCGAGGTCCACAACTAAGAGCAAGAGCTAAAACCAGAACTCCAACTTCCTGCCGTGGTAAGGCTCCAGGATCATCTCAGTTCATTTCCCATCCTACTCAGAGCCATGAGTAAAACCTCAAAAGACACGACTTATTTTGTGAGCTCTCCTTTTCTCCCAGCAGGTGCACAGCGAGGCCCTTAATCCCCCTCCCAAACATGCCTTTCATCAGTGGTTGTTCTGAGATGGCACCTATTCTTTTCTGCCACTAACCTCTCTTTTGAATAAACTATCGTGTTTATGCTGTCTCATGAAGCTTGGTGATGAAGTGTCCCTCCCACCTCTGCCGCCTTGCTAGGGTACCAGTTCTGGTCCTTCCAGGGAGAGTCCTCCTGTGGGGAGGTGGCAACGAGCAGGTTACTGCTCACTGGAATTCTTTTTGTAGTGGGAGGAGTTCCTACACTTCAACATCAAATTCCATCCTTTAAAGGGAAGTAGAGAGCTTTCCCCTCTAAAAGTCCTCATAATTCATCTAATAAATCTTATCCTGGAATTCCAGGTGATGTTTCTTTCACAGAAAATATAAATCTATCTGAATATTAACCTATTCAACAGCCTCTCAATAAATATTAGTAGTGAATGCCAATATTTATTTGTATCAATTCCAAATGAGAATTTCCTGCTTCAATTTTCTCTCTATGAAAACTTTCTTCATTTAATATTTCCTACTTTAATATAATCTGCCTATAAAACTAATATTGTACTGGATCTCTATCGCTCTAACTAAAAAACAAAGGCATACAGATTTTATAACAGTTACTATTTCTGACAAAGAATTTCCTTTACCTGGCTAAGAATTTTCATCCCTGAGTGCAACAGCTTCTTTGCAGCTTTATAATAAATGGTCTCAGGTTTGTTGTAAATCATAGCATTAGTACACATTAGTTTGAAGTTATCCTGCAGAGAGAATATTAAGGAGAAAAATGTATTTAAAACAAAACAAAGCACCTTCTTGTCCCTGTTTGAAATCATACAGTCCTTGAAAAATTAAGGCAGATAAAACCAACAAAAAACCCTGTCCCTTCCTTTCACTGTTTATTAAACAACATTAAAGCAATTTAGTAAGTTTTAAAACTAAGAAAACAAATACTAAGTTAATTCAAATATTGCACTACATTCCTTTCCAAATTCTTAAGACTTTTTTAACGAACTACATAAATGTTTAGATCCTAAGATGAAATTTAACGGATTTCTTCACTATAACCTTAACACACACAAAAAGAATTGGAAGAAAATACTTTTATTTAATAGAATAATTAAAAAAAATTGTGTTTTTTGAGAGAGAGAAAACGAGATCCAGAGTGGGCGGTGGGGGATGGGGATTAGGGGAATGGACAAAGGGAGAAGGAGAGAGAATCCTAAGCAGGCTCCTTACCCAGCACAGAGTCTGACGTGGGGCTTGATCTCATGACCCTGAGACCATGACCTGAGCCCAAATCAAGAGTTGGACCGGTGGTAACAGACTGAGCCACCCACCCGCCCCTAAAATAATCTTAACTGAGTTCATGTAATTAAAAAATATTACTCCTGGTTTTAAAACAAACATCTTAAATTTCCATTTATGAATTAAATAATTTCAAATTTTGATGAAAACTGTGACAGGGCTAAATTATCACAATATTTTTTAGGAAATTCAAATTGAGCAAAAATGTTAAAATATTTACACTAATTTTAAGTGTATCATAAGCTATCATAAGCTAAACATAATTTACTGAATGCTGCAAAATCATGCCAATGTGAAATAAACCATACAATCTCAAAGAGTTGGAACATGTAATCGGAGTAGTCAAATTATCAAAACTGTACTTTTGGGTTAAATTTCAAAGTACCTACATGTGCTGGAAAGCTCAATGCCACTGCATAGTTTCATGGTTAAGTAATTTTTTACACTGTATAAATGTGGCAGTGATTATGCCAAGGTCAGAGTTAAAATGGTAAAAACCCAACAACAAAAAATTCCCCCTAAACAAACTCTTCCTCCATATCCAAAACAAATATTCAAACCCCACTATTTAATAACTAGTGATGACAGCTTAGGACACTTAAATAGAACAAAATAGGTAGACTTAGTATTATCTGAAAGCATATGAGAAGACAGACTCAAGGATCACAAGAAGTCTGGTATTAAAGTAGATGGAAGTACCTGTGGATCCTTGTCCCTGGCCAAATCTGTAGTCAATAAGAATTTGCTCGGTCCTGCATCTTCCAGAATGTGATGAAAGCCATTCATCCACTCCCCAAGCATATATATACACACCAAATTGAACACAAAATTTTCCATGTAATTTTAGCAGGTTCCCCCTTAAAGGCCCATCTGTGGCTTCCATCCAGAGGACCCCAGGTTAAGAACCCCGGCTATTGGTTTTCTGAAAAGCTTCCATTCCATTCAGAATTACTAAATATATATTTTGGGAAATGGGAGGCAATCAAGGAAGGACATCAGATAATTATTACTTATAAAAGGGACCACTGGGCCTCTAACCAGCAAGAGAGTACTGGATTATTCCACTGATCTCATCTGTTAAGGAAATGTGTAGATTCCACGAATCCTAACTGTCATATGCTAGGCTTTATTGGGCTCTGGGGTAATGGCACTTGGTCATTCAAAAAGTTAAATGACCTTTCTGCATACTTTTCAGGTAATTAAAAAAAACTGAACAGCTTAATGAGCTGAATTAACTAATTAATATTACATCAGGCTATTGATTTTTCCCCAAAGGAAAATGCAGTAATGTAGAAAACTCTGAAAAGTCAAAGTATTAGTTTATTTCAGTTACAACAAATCTTAATAATCATTTGTGCAAAAACACGTAGGGCGCACATTTCTCCTTTCTCCTGTCATTGTAAGAGAAAGATCAGAGGAAAACTATTTACTAAAAGAAAAAAAAAAACCAACCCTGTGAAATTTTTTTTCCACTAAGCAGTAAGAAGGTCAGAAATATGCTGAAATAAACCTTTCTAGCCTAACTTTCACCAGATGAGAAGTTTGGAAAGCTTCCTTTTCTGTGAATACAAGAGAATGTAATTCAGGTTTCCAGAGTAAGTGGAATGTTATCTATGCATTCGAATGGATAGGAAAGATAGAATTAAATACTAGTTTTATTCATAAATCTCAACCGATTGATATGTGGATTAAAAAAAGGTAAAAAGATAATCTAACCAATTAGGGTCTAGTACTTAGGTCAGATGAATACTACAAAGTTTATTTAGAAAAAATAAAGGTAAAATAGGTATTATCTACACCAGTTAAGTTTGGGCAGTTTGATACAGAGAAAATTTTTGAAAACACATGGTTCCTTTCTTTGAAGGTCAAAATGAAAAGTATGCTGTTGAAATCAACATACACCACAACTACTTAAAGATGGAAAAACTTCCACTGTAACATCAGGCACACACATCATCCTCTCATCCCTTATGTGTTCTTCACTTTTTAAAAAATTCCCTTCCTCTCTTTTGAAGAAAATATGCTCAACAAATATAGCCAAACTGAGTTTGGGAAGCAACTGACTTTCATCAAAGAGAAGTGTAATTAAACTTTTGTTTACTATTTCTGGACAAGCCAACTTCTCCTCTATTTGAGAGACATGCTACACTTTAGCTGTCTAGAAACAGAAAAGGAAACTACTTTGTCACAACTTTCATTTAAGTATCAATTTTACTCCTATTGGTCTGAAATGAAAAATTTGACATTTTTTCATTTTAAAGTTTGAGAATATATATTGTAGAACATATGAATTCAAAATTTTTCTAAAATGCCCCCAAATAATAAAAAGACAGTAGATGGCTTAGTTTGTCTGGTTTTCTATCACCAAACTCAAAAATGTTTTCTGAGACAGAAAAATACAAACATTTTGGATATTAAAATAAATTTAATTCTCTGCAAAATAAGAAGTCAATGAGAAAACCTCCTATAACCAGATATGCAGACTTCTACCAAGACTATATATATATAGTATCCAAGAGTTTGACTCTCAACTGAATAGTTATGTTACTCTGGTTAGTTTTCTAATCACAACACAAGTAACTATGGTTACCTTTAGTTCTTCTATGGACTGGTAATCATTGTTCTTAATCTTTTCTTTCATGGTACTAAAATCCATTGGGTGCTTAATGATCATGGAGTAGCCAGGAGCAATAAAATCAGTCACAGGAAATGAAAAGAAAGCACTTGGGTCTTTTCTGTGAAGATATGAAAAAGGCAGTTTTATTTCTATTGCAAACAAACCTACTGGTCTGGGCGCAAAAGTCAGGGGAAACATTTCAGTGCAGAAAGAATCTGTAATATGCTAACATGCTCTTCACTGCAAATTGAAGGAATGATTTTATTTTATTTAAAAAAAATTTTTTTTTTTATTTACTTGACAGAGATTACAAGTAGGCAGAGAGGCAGTCAGAGAGAGAGGAGGTACAGTTTCCCTGCTGAGCAGACAGCCCGATGCGGAGCTCTATCCCAGGACCCTGAGACCATGACCCGAGCCGAAGGCAGAGGCTTAACCCACTGAGCCACCCAGGCGCCCCATGGAATGATTTTATTTTTTAAAAGACTTTTCATTAAAATTTATTTGACAGAGAGGGAGAGTGAGCACAGCAGGGAGAGTGGGAGATGGAGAAGCAGGCTCCCCACTGAGTAGGGAACCCTACATGGGGGCTTAATCCCAGGACCCTGAGATGATCACCTGAACCTAAGGCAGATGCCTAACTGAGCCACCAGGTGCCCCTGAAGGAATGGTTTTAAAGACTCATAATAACAAGGTTAGGATGTTTTACATACTAGCTGTACCCTTAAGACAGAGAATCTTTTAAAATATGCAGGCTAATAAATCTGTAGCACCTCCTACATAGGGAAAAATGAAACAAAAGATCTAAGACTAACTGACCAATGGTCATGGCTTTTGGGAGATAAGCACTATATATTTTTTTCAACCATAGCGGAAAAGATGGAAAGAATAACTGTAAATGCACACCTACAATCTTCCATACTGATTTATAACTGTAGGCTGTGGACTCCTGGTGGGCCACACAGTTCACGTGAGTATCTGTATTTTCTTAATCAGTGGCTCTGACTTCTGTGTGTGTAGGGGAGTACTCAAAAAACTGCCATTAAAAAGGTCCTCATATGACCCCCAAACCCAAGAACCAGTGCTTTCTATTGTAGGCTCTCAATTCTGGCTGTGCATGAGAATCAAGAGAGGAGCTTTAAAAAAAAAATTCCAGGTTTGGGGGGTGGCTCACCCTAGACCCATTACATCAGGATCTCCTGGGAAGGAGGGTCTGTCCAGGCCCTGGTACTGAGTACTGGTATCGCAGTATCTGGGCTTGGTAATCCTAGTACTGACAGGGTTGAAGACCACTGTGTCTGATTAGGTCATTAGATTGATCTTCTCCTCTGGAAATTTGGCAAAGCAAAGTTATCTTACCCCAAATAATCATAACAATAAAAATGGTGTAAAAAGTAGTAATAAGAGCAACTTTCAGAATGTATTTACCATATGCAGGCCCAATGGAAGGTGCCTGATATATTTTTTTATCAAATTCTTACAAAAACCATCAAGGTGGTGGCAGCCTCACTTAGAGATGAGGGAACTGGGGCTCAGAGGTCAATTTTTTTGTTCTAGGTCATAAATCTGATAGAAGATAGAGCTGGAATCTAAACTCAGCTGTTTGTTTTTCCTTAGGAGGATGCCTAGGCGGTGAGACTAGAAAATAAAGAATAAGCAAAAATACCCAGTCTGTCTACAGTAGTTACTATGCATAACAACACTGATCATCTCTGGAGGACTTCTTCAGAGCAAATTATCTATACCCACCCTTGAATCAGACATTTTAAAAGAACCCTAACCAACTACACCATTTACCAGCATTTGGGCTGAGCCGAAGGATGAGGAATCACTAATGAGCATTCAAAAAATGTGGCTCTGAGTTCTAATTCCCAAAATGTTGGAGAAATGTCAATATCCTTGGACTAAGACGGACCTTTTCTTTAAAGATTTTATTTATTTATTTGAGAGAGAGAGAGAGATGTCACAAACGGGGAGAGGCAGAGGGGGAAGCAGGCTCCCACTGAGCAGGGAGCCCAATGTGGGACTCAACCCCAGGACCTGATTATCATGACCTGAGGTGAAGGCAGACGCTTAACCAACTGAGCCACCCAGGCGCCCCTAAGAGAGACCCTGTTAAGTGGATTTCTTTTAAGTTGACATCATTAAGCTACATCCTGGTCTTATGTTACAAAAAATAAAACTTCAAAGGGAGCCAAAACACTTCAAAATCATACAGTCTAATAGAGTCAGAACACCTACTGTTTACCTGTTCAAATTTGGGGACAAGTAATGAATGACTTACTTAAGTGTAAAGACTTGAGATGTAATTTTCTCATTTATCCTGTAACACCAAAAAGGGAGAGAGGCCACTAACTTTTCGTCTTAATTTCAAAGCTGGAGAGGTGGTGACTACCGAGAGCACAAGAGGCTTTAACTTACAAAATGATGTGTAATGTGTTCTGGGGCTGACATAGGACAACCCAGTGAGAAGAAAGTTCACTAAGAGAATGCATGCCCTCCACCCATGAATCCTCTGTAAATAATACGTCTTTGAACTTAAAATTCAAATTCCGAGTAGAGACAGATATCAAAAATATGTATTTTAATAAAGATGGAGTTATTTTTCCCCCTTTTATGAACTTAACATTGGTTTAATCTAGATACTGTAATTTTTAGAACAAAATTCTGCATGTAAGAAAAGGTCACAAATTCTCTTTAGTTTACTTCTTCTTTCAGACTTAATAATTACTGAATATTCACAGCACGATAAGCACTGAACAAATATATAGAAGGTATTTTCATCTATTAGCGAAGTGAAAATATCTGTATTGTTTATTCCTGGTTTAAAGTTTCAACATCAGAAGTTACTTTAAAGAGAAATTTGCCATTAAGAGTATTATGTAACACTCTTCAAGTTGCCAGTTAAAACAAACCAAAGGAGAACATTTTAAAGTCAGCTTCTTAAAGTACTTTCTACTGCCAGGCAAAATATTTATCATCCACTTTAAAATCAAGTACATTTGGATTCAGGCCACAAAATGTGGCTTTAAATAATCAAAAATAGAGAAGTGGTTTGGATCCTATATTTCCCATTTTAATTTCCAAGTTATAAAAATGTTGGAAAAAACATTTACCTCTGTAATTGTCTCATCAGTTGATTCAAAGCTTCTTGAAGGGGTGTCTGTTCTACTTCTAAAGCAAAGAAAGGGAAAGAGTATTTTCAAAAGGAAGATTCTAGAGAGTATTGTTAAGCTTATTTTCTATGAGTTACCTCATATCCATCATTAACTATCTCACACAGCAATTCCATTTCTCTTACAAATATACGGAACTATGAAAATTTCAACTCAAAATTGAAGCTAATTTAAAGCTCTTACGCAGTGACAGAAAAAAGAACACCTCAAAAAATTCAATTAAACAGCTTTTAAAATTTAACTTAAAAACTAAAAACCCACTTTCCCTGGCTACAACCCTTAAAATAATTTCAGCCTCCTCATTCACAGAAGTTAATGCAGAGTTAGTCCAACCTTCTTGTTTGGCTAAGGAGCTTGCAAGAGGCTTCTCAGGAGGCAAGTCTAATCTTACAGGGGCCTGGCACTGGAGGTCTTTTTCTGCCTCATTCTCCACACGGTCCCGATCTCGCTTCTTTTTATCCTCCTAAATGGAACAAAGGGAAACAATTTAGAATTACTTCAGAATTAATACCATAAAAACAAATAATACTCATTTCATTGAAAAAACAAAAAACAAACAACAAAACCCAAAAGCGCAAAAAAAAAAAACAAAAAAAAACCCTCACTCAGAAAAGATAGTCTTAATAATGAAATCTTAATGTATTTTACTGCCATCTACTGGAAAAGGAGAGAATCACAGTTCAAGGGCAAGGGCGGGGGTGGGAGGTAGTGCTTCTATATCCCCAAAATAACCAATTAGAAAAATAATTACTATACACAAAAGATAACATACCTAAGAATAAATCTAATAAAAGATGCCCAATACCCTTTGGGAAAAATTACGAAACATTATTGAAAGTTCACTGTGGAAAACCAGAATAAAGGAGATATACCATGTTCATGAACTGAAAGATAATCAATTCTCTCCCAAGTAATCTATAAGTAAAATGTAATGTCAGTGAAAATTTAAGACAGAATTTTTCATGAAATTTGACAAGCCAATCATAGAATTTATCTTGAAGAGTGAGTCATCAAGAGTATCTACACAATTTTGAAAAAAAAAATCATAATAAGATGTGTCATATCAGACAGTATTTGTATAAAGTGATAATAATTAAGACAATGTGATCTGACAGACAAACAGACTAACATACAGAGTCCAGAAACAGACTTGTGCACATAGAAAAGTCTTGTTATATCAGGGGTGGCATCAAAAATCAATGACAAAAGGGTAGTGCTGGGATAACTGGATATCTACACGAAAAAGAAAATAAAATTAGATCTCTACTTCGTATCATACACAAAAGGAAATTTCAAGTAGACTAAAGACGTAGATGTACAAAGCAAAGCTTTAAAACTTCAGATAAATATAAGGAATCTTCATGACCCAAGAGTAGGGAAAGATTTTCTTACCCAGAAGCAAAGCCAAAACACTAGCTATTAACTGAGATAAAGTACTTCTAACACAAAAATCTCATATAAAGTATTAGCAAAAATCACAAAGAGCATTTATTCAGGTAAAATGCAGGTAAAAAGGAAAATGGGTAGAAAATGGGTAAAGGATATCACAGGTAATTCCTACAAGAAACCTGAAATAAAAAAAATATGAAAACAAGCTCAAGCTCCCGAGAACTCTGGGAATTATAAATTTAAAAACTAGAATGCATTTCATATATCTGATTGACAAAAATTAAAATGCCTGAAAATGTCAAATCTTGATGAAAATGTAGAGAAACTGGGCTCTCATACCTTACAGATGGGTGAGTAAATAGGTATAATAACTAGAACAATGAACAATATCTAGTAAGGCTGATGATGCCTTCACCCTACTACTCAGCTATTCTATTCTTGGGCATACACCCTAAAGAAACTTCCTTTCACACAGTATACATGAAGGATAGGTATAAGAATACTTACTGCCACACTCTGAAATAGTAAAAAAATTATGAACAATCCAGTATCTACCAAAAGAAAATGGATTAATATATTATGAATATTTAGACAGCAGGCAAAATTAATAGGCTAAAGTTACATTGTATCAAAATATGTTAAGAAATATAATTTCTAGAGACAAAAGTTGAGAATAAGTGTTACTAGTTTTGTAGTTTGAAAATGTGTATATGTATATTATTCACAGATCTATGTAGAAGTAGTAAAATTACAAAAACAAGTATGCAAGCGATGCACATGAAACTCATGAAAATGGTTCACTCTAGTGCAAGGGAGACAGGAATGAGATTCTGGAAGAATACACATAAGGCTTCAACTGGATCTATACTCTAATTTCTTAAAAATAAAAACAAAAACAAAAACCCCAAAACCAAAAAACATCAAGCAAAAGGTACAATGCTGAAATCTGCTAAAGCTGGGTGGTTGGTATCCAGGTAGCAGTTTTATCATTTTTTAAAAATTAAATTTCTAATAAAATTGCCCCAAAATGTCATTTTATGCCTCTGAGAATCAAGATTCTCCACAGGATCTTATCAATCCCAAAACTATTTTCTTGGCTTATGTCCTCATTTATTGTCCTACTATCTAGGGCAGTGGTTCTCAAGGTGTGCTCCTTGACCAGCACCATCAGCTGGGAAATTGCTAGATGTGTAAATTCTGAGTTCCAATTAGGTTTTCAAGCTTCAGTGCACATCAGAATCACCTAAAGAGTTTGCTGAAACCTTAATATCTTGGCCCTGTCTCCAGAATTACCCATCCAGTAGGTCTAAGGTAGAGCTTATGAGTATTACCAACACGTTTCCAGGCCATTAGGGTGTTGCTGCTATAGGAATCACACTGAGTTATCACTGATACAGGGCTTCCCTTCTAAGGGTCCAAAGCATCTAATACAGAATGTATGACTGGCTTAAAAGCTCCAGAGAAAAATGCTATAAACTGCACTCATCATGCCCTTGATCTCAGTTAATATCGAGTTGACTGGTGTCTGTTTTTTATGGCTTCATGACAGACTCTGGAGTAGCAAATCTTGACTTTGGAAAGTTTTGTACCTTTTGCCCAGAAAACCTGGCATGAATCTTTTGTAGGCTGGAAGGTTTCCACCTGTTCAATGGAAAAAGACCCCCTAGAGACTCAGATTCCTTCCTAGTAAAAGTAAATTGTGCAGTGAGGACAGCTTGGAAGGCAAAGCACTCTCCTAGGTGGAAAGAACTAGGGCCATAGTGCCAGGAATCTAGAGCAGGGGTTGGCAAACTTTTCTGGTAAATGGTCAGATAGTATATAATTTAGTTTTGTGGTCCATAAGGTCTGTCACAACTACGAACCTTTGCCGTTGGCATGAAAGCAGCCACAGACAATACATAATGAATGAGTGTGGCTGTGTTCCAATAAAACTTTATTTATAAAACCAGGTGGCACAGGCCATGGTTGCTGATGGTCTATGGGCTCAAGTTCTAGCCCCAGCTTCATCCTTAACACACTCTGTGACCTTCTTAGGCAACTCCTTTTATCACGAGGCCTCTTCATCATCCTTAAGATAGAGATTTAACTGCTGATTTTATTTATCCTAGAATATCAATGAGATTGTGAAATGGGGTCAAGTAATAGAAAAGTTGAAAAAGTACCAAAGGAAGGTACTACCTATAACTTTATCTTGTCTGCCTGGTCTACAGTAACCACCTTATTTTCAATGACAAGAGAATACAGCCTTCTGGGCTAGGGTCCAAAAGAGAAAGAGCATATAAAAACCTACACTTGGAAACTACCCTAAACTGAATGGAGATACTGTAATGTGTTGCTGTCAGATTAGGAATTAGCGGACCTGGCATCGAGTTCACCAGAATGTGATCTTGAACAGGTTACCCCACTCACTCACTCTCAGTTTCATTTACAAAACAAGACGCTTTGAGCTCTGCAGTTCCCTCTCCACTTAAAATTCTGATTTCAACCTTCTTATTTTCTTCATGATTCAGAATATAGTAGAGAATCTTCCTGCAAATGTCCCTTACAGGTTACAGAGATGTAAGCCCAAAAGTTAACACAGTTATGCTCAGTAGTTAGTGCACTCTGCCAGTTGCATATAGAGAACGAAACAAAAATACTAGAGCCATTTAACTTCAGGTAGCCAAGGAAGAGGGTTTACTTACCGTTTATAAATGGGTTTGCCACTTATTAGCTATCAGATTGTAGATAAACTGTGTGACTTGGGGGGACTAATTTTCTTATCTCTAACATACACAAAAGGGGCACCCGAGTGGCTCCATCGGTTAAGTGGTCTGCTTTTAGCTCAGGGTCCTTTGAGCCTAAGCCCAGTCTTGCTTCTGGCTCCCTGCACTGTGCAAAGTCTGCTTCTCCCTCTGCCCCTTCCCTGGCTTGTGCTCCCTCTTTCTCTCCAATAAATAAAATTGTAAAAAAACAAAACAAAACAAAACACAATAGTACCTCAGAAGATTGTTTTGAGGATGAAATAAGATAGTGTATGTGGAACTCCAGTGAAGTACTCACTCACAGTGTTCACTCATTCATTCATGTGTTCAGCAAATAAATGAGGTTCTACTGTGTGGATACACACTGGTGGATAAAACACACACAGCCCTGCCCTTAGGCAGCCGAGAATGTTAACAACAGAGACACACATTAAACAACTCATTAAAAAAAACCCAAACAGATTTCATGGGGAGAGTAACTGTCGGGTGAATCTAATTTAGACTGGACAAGTGTGGGAAGGCTTCTATAAGGAAGTAACATTTGAGCTGAGATCTGAAGGACAGAATTTAGCCAGCCGGCGGTGGGGGGCTGGGGGTGTGGGGTGTGGAAAGAGCATTCCAGACAGAGGAAGTATCCTCTGTGCAAGAAGGTTCAGGCAGCAGAGAAACCATGGCTTTCTGTTAACTACAAACACACTGGACTTAATTTCAGACTCTTAATTTATTCACAACTCAATGGCAAGTTATTCCTTTGTGAATGACACTTCTGAAGCAAATCTCTGTTCATATTATGATTCCAACACTCACTGTACTATGTTACAAACACATCTGTCTCTGTCGCTAGAGTTCCTCGTGGGTAGGGTCCCCTGTTATTTTCAGCTCTGTACCCCCAAGCTCAACAACGCCTAACACATAATACTTGCAGAATTACAGGAAACAGCATGAAAAGAGAAATATGCAAATTAACAGCTGAAGTCCTTAGTTTTAAGGACTGTCCTCCAGGTTGACTACTTTTGGAGATCTAGATATAGATACAAAGATCTCTAACTATATTCAAATAATGCTCCCAATGTGCAAAATAATTCCAGAACTTCCCTGTAACAGGTGATTTTAGAATGTAATTGAAAAATCAGTCTTACTACTTTGCAGTGATGCCTCATTCCGGCAAAAGAGCCTCAACAGATTGAAAACAGCATCTGCTGCACAATTTAGTCGTTAGGTCTCCTTTGTCTTCCCCCAGCTTCCCAAGACAAAATGAGAAAACTTTCCTTGGGACTCCCAGAACACTTTATTTATACCTCTGCTAGAATTTATACCAGGCCATGAAGTT